ATGCAGCTGGAAAGGGATTTTCAGGGAGAAATCACCTGGAACTCAGAAGAGAAATGGTGATCCAGTTCAAGGATCTTTTGGGTTTTTTTGTTTGTTTGTTTTGTTTTTTGTTTTGTTTTTTTGAGACAGGGTTTCTCTGTGTAGCTTTGGACCTATCCTGTCCTGGAACTCAGTAGACCAGGCTGGCCTCAAACTCACAGAGATCCACCTATCTCTGCTGAGTTCAAAGGCCTGTGCCACTACCACCCAGCTAGTTCAGGGATCTTAAGGGGAGTAGAATACACTCAATGTGGGTGCCTAATGGTGACCGGCCTCAGTGGCAAATGGCCAGCACTTCTGGGGCTCTTGCCAACTTGCCCTTCCTGCTTTATCCAGTGCAGAGGTGGCCCCTTGTGCCATAGTCATGTAGTGACCACCTGGTCATTCTCAGGTAGACTCCCTGTGACTGCCACCTCTCTAGTCCCAGCCACAGGACCAATCCACCAGCCTGTTCTCCCTCGTAGACATTGATTTCTGCCTCAGCCAGAGCCACTGGGACTTCTGCTGAGACCGATGGCACCTGGCTGACTGGTATCTTCTGCACTGACGCCTGCTAAGCTGACATCACACATAGACAGACAGGTGCATGTGCCCGCGCGCGCGAGCACGCACACACACATACACACACACACACATACACACACACACACACACACACACACACACACACACACACACACACACACACCAGTCTTTCTGAGAGATTGTCCCTGTCCCCTCGTTTGAGCAGCTCGCTTGCCATTTTGGCCATGTGTAGTGATTATATCCCTGTGTTGCTCCGCCTTCCACTGAGTCGGGAGGCCTGAGAAGACCCCCTGCTTTCTTCTCTTAAGGAGTCTTCTTTTGGTTGACCAGACACCGTGCTGCAGGAACCCTGTGGTCTTTCCCTCCTAGACCCCTTCGCACTCCTGAGAGAACTGGAGCTTTTGAGTTTGCCGAAACCTCAAGTTCGAACGCAGAGTGGTACAGCCTGGTTCCCCCAGCCTCCCTTGTTTGGCCGTGTTGGCTCCCACAGTCTTGTTGACATGCAAGGCCTAAGAGCAGACCTGGAGCCCCGGCAGAGCTGCCTCATTGAATAGCATGTTAGCATTTAAACAGTATTAATACTGTTTGACTCATTAAATGTACAAAGGCCAATCAAAGTGCTTCCATGTGTGCTGTTAGTTCTGGCAGGCAACGCCTCCTGTGGCTTCATGTGGTTTCAGACAACATTTTAGCACATTCTTAAAATACCCACAAAAGCCTTTATGTAAAAACTCATAAATGTGAACCACATAAAATTATTTTTTTCCTTGATTCATGTCACTGTGATCAAAGTACAGTAGGTAAGAGTAAATTTTCAAAGCCTTGTTTAGGTCCTTCTTGAATTAATGCTTCACGCGCAGACTAAAACCATAAACCATATAATGGGGGTACAGCTGTTGTGCACCCCAGGGCCACCTCCCACATGACAGTGTACAAGCATCCCTTCTGACAGCACTTGCCAGCAAAGCTGGGGCTTCTGGAAGATTCCGGAATGGCCCTTCTCATCACCTGGGCTTCAGTCCCCTTGAATTAGACCATCGTGTTGAAATTTGCAGCCGCTGTGGGTTCCCAAAGGTCCCTCTTGGTATCTGGAATCAAATCGTTCTTGAACTGTTGTGGTGTTGGGGCCCTGTCTGAGCAGCAGAGGCTCAGATGTCGTCTCCGCCCCACAGAGAACACTGACGTGCATGGGGAGAGCTAGCAACATGGCCTCTGCTCTGTGGCCAGCAGATCCATATGGAAAGTCAGATGGCCGGTGGGCATTCTCCAAATGGGAAACTAGCCACCGTGGAAGAGCTGGGGAGGAACTGCGTGGTGAAAAATGCCACACTCTGCCTGGCACCATCCCTCACAGTTACATAAAAACCTAACATCTCAACAGAGACTGGAAAGAACTTCGGAAAAGTCAGATTTGTGGGGAATGTCGGTTTATGGTATTGTGGGCTAATTTTTAAATTTCCTTTTTTATGATGTTCTTTAAAAAGTTTTTTAATACGGGGAGGGGAGCCCACAAGGAGGTCACCCTTGGGCTTGCATGTTTTGCCTCCTTCAGTTCCAGCATTTGGAAACTCTAGACCCGGCCTGCGTGACCCTCAGGGGAAGCTAAGGCTACCTGAGAGAAGTTGCTCACAGCAAATCCAAGCTTCAGGCTGGAGTGCTAGGGCTAGAACAGTCCATCCCACCTGATTAGTAAATGCTGCTGTTTTCTGGAAAAACATAGAACACTAAGGGTGGACCCTATGGGATTCACCTTGGGTCATCTAGTGCTATTGAGCTGGTCACTGGATAGGGTTGACAAAAGCTTCCAAGGCAGTCACATTTCTGCTGGCCCCTGCCAAGGCAGCCAGAGCCAACACCCAGAAGAGTGGGCCTGTGACAAGAACAACACTGCGGTGTGGGGCTTTTCAAGCAATGGGTGGAGGAAGGATGGGACTGGCCGGGGCTTTGGGCCTGTGCTCTACAGGGCCAAGTGGGCAGAGCAGAAAGGAAGCATCCGGCAGTGCTAGCAGGAGAGCAGCCTCCGTCTTTAGAGATGCCTTTTGCTGTGGGCTGCTCTCACAGCTCGGCTCACAGCTGAGGCCACAGAACATAAGAACACGAGGCTCATCCAGCAAGGTCAGCTTAGAGGTGATCAGTCTGTCTTTGCACATTCCAGGAACATTCCAGAATGGCTTGCTTCATGCTGCACACCCTATGAGATATGATGATTCCTCAGATCCCAACTCGTGCAGAGAGGAAGGGGGGCACTTACAGAGAGTTTCTGAACAAGAGAAAAAAAAAAAAAAAAACCATGCCCTAGGTCCAGCATCCTGTATTCACCAAGTGATGGCCCTGGGCACTGGTCCCATAGGTGCCCATCTGTACCTATGAACAGCATGTACTCTGTCCAGCGCTTGGACGCTTAGTCAGCTGATGGGAGACAGGACCAGAAATTCGGTTTGATCCCTCCTTCAGAGCGGAGGCACAGGAAGTGGTCCTGTCACCAAGGGCTAGTCCCAGTCCTCAAGGGACCATGGGGTGGGGTGAATACAGAACAGAGTGGAGCTTCCTCCGGGAGTTAAGAGTAAAAGGTAGACAAACCATGGCACCTGTACTGTGTTAATGTGGGGGAAGATTGGTGTCCTTGGCAGGAGGGGAACTCTGGCTTCGTCTTCTCAGTTATGCTCTGGTATGTATCTTATTGGGGGGTGTTGTGGGTTTGAAATCGTTTTAGAATCAAGATCCAATTGCAGAAACAGGCTGTGTAGCACTCAGGAGGCAGAGGCAGGCAGATCTCTGAGTTCCAGGACAGGTTCCAAAGCTAAACAGAGAAACCCTATCTCGGAGGGGTGGAGGGAATTGCAGAAACGGTATAACTGGCCCACCCCTGGTGCTTAGTGGATGTCAAAGTCCTTGAATGCCCAAGGCCTTTATTCATGTAAAATAATGGTGTAATTACACAGAACCAGAGTGCCTCTTCCCATGTTTAAGTCATGATAGATTGTTTATGATACACTTTGTTGCTGTGAGACAGGGCCTTGCTCTGCAGTTCTGTCTGGCCTGGAGCTTAGTGTATAGTCTGGACTCAAACTACTGCCAATCTCACCTCAGCTTCTCAGGTGCTGGGATGTCAGGTGTATACCACCCACCCCGCAGGTGTGCGCACCCACACTAGTGAGATGCCTTAGCGAGTGGAAACTCGATGCTGAGTTAGTCGCAGTTGTACAATCTGTCTTAGTGAATCAGAAGATGAAAGTCTGTGTATGTTGGGTACACATGGCCTTTTCCTTTTTTAACCAAAGCCTAAGGATGTGGGGCTGTAGGTATGGAGCTGACTCCTTCTCTTTCTGTAATATGTGGCTTCTTTTTTAAAATATATAACTTTATTGTGACTTAAACCACGGATGCTTGGTTTTCACACTAGAACCCCAGCACTCAGGGGACCAAGGGAAAAGGATTGTGAGTTTTCAAGGATAGGCTGGCCTGAGCTTAGTAGTGAGTCTGTCTCTTCTTGCCAAAACCACCCTCTTCACCCCAATAAATCATTTGTTGGCTGTCTACTTACCTTTTTTCCCCTTCAGTGTCCTGGTGTTATTTCTTTGCCCAGATTTACACAGTAAGCCTCTAATCACCTCCTTAGCATATTGTTCCTGACTGCATGAGTCATAGGCAGAGCCCATCAAAGGGCTTGGGGCACCATGTCCGCCTGATGCCTACCATGCACTGGTTGTGCATGGAGCCAGCCTCCTGACCTCGGAGAATTTGTCTGTGAAGTAAGGGGCTTAACCTGAGGTTAGAGAGGCACAGGACTTTATGAGGAGGAACATACTGGCCACAGGAGATGTGGTTTCCTGGAGTTGTGTTGGTTGGTTATCAGCAAAGCTTGAGGTCACAGTGGCTGGCCTCTTCTTCCCGTCCTGTTTTCATCCGATCTGTGGGTTTTTCAGTGTGGACTTGAACCTGAGGAGGAAGTGCTGTCCCCCACACGGCCCTTCATTTCTGTTGGGGCTCTCTAGCAGTCGCTCTGAGAAAACAGCATGATTGACTCCTGGTATATGTGGGGATGTGGGGCAGGCTTGTCAAACAGCCTTCCTGAAACATTTTCCGGTGATGGCCAACTCTGTACTGTGAGGAGATCCATACCCTGCTGGATCTTGTACCTGGGAGGAAACTGGTGATGCCCAGAGAAGTTCAGTAAGCTTGCCAAAGACACAGAGCTCAAACCAGAGACTGATCTTTGCTCTTCCTGGCATCCTTGCTTTTCTGTCTCTGCAGCCATAGGATGGTCAGGCCATGTCAAAAGGTCAACCCTGGCACCTGTCATGGAGGGTCTTTAACCCTAGACAGGTGTCTAGGGCACCATCTGAGCTCACCATAACAGACAACAATATGGGACCTGGGCCAAAGGCCCAGAGCTGGCTCAGCATCTAAGGGTCCATGGGCATTGTCTCTTGCAGGTATTTTGAAGGTGGCGTCTCATCTGTCTACCTCTGGGATCTGGATCACGGCTTTGCTGGAGTGATCCTCATAAAGAAGGCTGGAGACGGGTCAAAAAAGATCAAAGGCTGCTGGGATTCCATCCATGTGGTGGAAGTGCAGGTACTATACCCCAGTGCATGTGCCACACCCCACAGGGCAGCCCTGACATCCCAATGCTTCCACGAGGGGCATGCTAGAATATGCGCCCCGACTAATTCCTAAAATTGCCCAAAGTCATTTGGATAAAGATAAGTCAGGGTGATAATACTTATTGATGCTGAAACTCCCCAAAGTACTTAAGGCACAATTGCAGATCTGCCCTATAAAAACCATGGGGACTTTTAAGGGAGCAATGTCTTTGGCATGGGGTTTGGGGCTCCAAGTCTCCCTCCTTAATTCATGTTCGCCCCATGTTCTGTCCTCCATCTTCTCCCCCAGGAGAAGTCCAGTGGCCGGACCGCCCATTACAAGTTGACCTCCACAGTGATGCTGTGGCTGCAAACCAACAAATCTGGCTCCGGCACCATGAACTTGGGAGGCAGCCTGACCAGACAGGTACAACTTCTGTTCCAACCTCTTGCCGGTGCCCATTGGTGCCAGAAGCAGACGAGCACTTTGCCCGGGTTAGGGGGAGCCTGTATGCCCAGCTGCCCATCCACCAGCTAAGGGGGACTGTTCTCTGAGTTGCATGTGGCTGCAGACCAGCTGTTCACAGCCAGCTGCCAGATGTAGTAGTATTGAGTGATTGCTGCTCGTCATCCACCCTACCTGGTGTCTCCCATGTTCACATTCTGCTGAGTTTGCCAGCCACAGTCAGACTGTGGATGCCATGTGAGCTGATCCCTGCAGTTCAGTCCTAACTGCTTACTCCTAGATCTGGTCTGAGTCCCACTGGAGAATTCTTGATGGGGAATTCTCCAGCTCTGTACACATGAAGATTTGCCAAGTTCTACTATTGTCTATTGCTCACCTGTCCTTTGCTAGCAAACACATTCCAAGAGAGCAGAATGTAGAGATCTTAGACTTTCGGCACTTCGTGCCCTGGCATGGGCCCCTCTTAGCATCTACATCAGGAACTGCTAGAGGAGCCTAAGCAGGTTTCAGACCCTCGGCACTCCATCCAGAGTTTCATGTTTATAACCTTGATACCTTCCAGAGCCTTCCACACCTGCCCATCATAGGAGAGGGTCCTATGGCTTCTGTGCAGAGGGACAGGAAGCCCCGTGCACAGGGAGCAGAGAAGAGCAGACTAAACACAGTTCAGTAGGAGATGCCTTGCCTAGGAGGCTCATTTCACAGGACCAAACCACCCAAGATAATTTTACTTTTGATAGCTCTTAAGAGAAAAGCATTGTAGAAGAGTTTAGGGTAGTAACTCTTACGTTGGCTTGCATTCTGCAAGCTGCAAGGCATCTGCGTGCATGTGGAAAACAACAGTGCAAGGCAGTGTGGCCAGGACCAGCCTGCACATCTGGGGGACCATTGGAACCTTAGAGTCTCCCATGGTAAACCCTCACCAGCTGTGCTGTGCCTAGTGAGAGAGACTGCAGAGAGCCTAGGTCCTCAAGATAGACTGTCTCAGGCTCATGGCAGAACCGAGCACTAGTACCCAGGGTCAGAGCCCATCCTGCAATGGACATGCAGCTTCTAGGGCCCTTGACATAGGCAAGCCAGCCAAGTCCTCAGGCAGACAGTTCCACCACAGCCTTCCCTCCCCTTCTCCCAGCCACCCAGGGAATGGGTGGGGACCCCTAAATCCATCCGGAGGCTGTTTCCTGCCTTCCTTGCTGCTGGGAACTGCCTATAATTATACCTGGTGTAAAATGACCTGCACAAATATTTAATCCTCCATCTTCCTGATAGTTTAAATCAGGGCTGTCGGCCCAGGGCCAACATCTGGCCCTGGAGTGCCGTACTCAGTAGCTGTGCCAAGCCAAACTCGGCCTGGTGAGTGGCTGTCCTCAGCACACCTGTCTGCGTTGCCTCTGCTGCCTGGTGCTCCTGGGGCCTTACTGAGGCAATCGGTGCTCCTGTCCTCATCCTTAGGGCCACAGCCATAACTCATCCAAGGCGCATTAAAGCTGAGGCTTGACCCCAGAGCAAGTAACTTCAAAGGCGAAGAAGCAGAGCCTCGGGTAGACAAGTGCCCAGGACCCAAGCACAGCTCCTGAGTTAATCAGGGCAGGGCAGTGGAGGCCGAGGGGCTCAGTTCTGAGTCCCAGATGCACCCTATGAGAGTTTCTGTGGTTACCTTGGACACACAGAGAACAAGCACACACGGCTGCCTGGCTGTCTCCTTTAACCACATTCTAGGCAGTTAGCATTCCCATTTAACAGGTGAGGAAACAGGCCCATGCAATTAAATAATTGACTAGAGCATAAGTGGCAGAGCCAAGAAGTGAACCCACATGTGTCTAACATAGTACCCTTCCTCTCACTCTTTGAGTTGGGGCTTGGGTGACCTCCAGTTGTGAGTGGTGTGCATTTTGTAGGCTGAGGGCTTCCTCCTCTGTCACTCACACACCTACTTCACAGTGCCAGGAAGGGAGGCCCCTGTCTGTGATAAATGGGAGCTTTTCTTCCACTTCCTCTTACCCTTCACTGTGTCCTTTTGTTTCTACCACTCAAAGCTGTCACTCGGGGGACAGCAGTTAGATGGGAGATAAGTCTTTTGGCAAATCCCTGCAGCTGTGAGGAGGTGGGGACAGCAGCGGTGGCCTTCCAGGAAGCTCACTGCAGCCTCATTGCATCCTCCTGCCAAGGCAGAGGCCACTTATGAGGGAGGTGGCAGAAGGTGCCCCTGGGCTGGCTGCCACGGAGGCCCCAGCGGGAAGGCCAGGGAGCAAGTGAAAAAGTGCTACGTGCCAAGGATGAGATAGGAAAAGGAAGCTGCTTGGAGAGGTCACTTCGCCTGTGACAGCAGAGATGTGGGAATGAGGCGGACCGTAAATCTCTGGAAAGAGATCCGAGGACTCCCATCCGGGGCAGGGCCCTGCAGATGTTCACTGAATTTTCTTTTCGGATTCTAAATATTTAGACACGAAGGTGGAATGTTGTGTTGAGTGGGGAGATTGGGCGCATTGGTCGTTTGCAAGCAGACCTCCCTGCTCATGAGCCACAGGCACTCCAGAGTCTTCAGGAAAAACCCAGCAGCCTTTGCCTATGGACCCTGGCGGGAAAGGCCTCCGTGACCTGGGCTTGGCGGTTAAGCCAGACAAGATATTTTTTTAAGGAGACAAAGCCCAAGGCTTTTCCTGGCCAGTGGAGGGAACTCAGGGCGAGGACAGACCTTTACAGCCAGCCTGCCTTGGGAATACAGCTCCCGGCAGCGGGCTCTGGTCCATGCATGAGGTGGCCTGGATGATGCCATTTGAGTGATGCATTTTCTTTTTGCCTGCATGTATATCTGAAGTTACAGTTGTTAGCTGCCATGTGGGTGCTGGGATTTGAACCCCTGTAAGGAGTAAGGTTCTCTGAAAGAGCAGGCAGTGCTCTTAAACCACTGAGCCATTTCTCTAGCCCTGAGTGATGCATTTTCTAAGAAGAGTGGAGTGTCTGTCAAATGACCTGGGGCACAGTGAGCCAGCAGGAAGGCCTGCCCTGGCTGTGGAAGGCAGGTTAAGAGATGCAGAGCTGGGGTGCTGGGCCTCCAGGAGGCCGATGAGGCTCAACTTCTGAGCTCTGGGTTGTGGGTTTTGCTTGACTTTACTGGTAAACATTATATAAGATCCACCCACCAGAGAGGTCACCTTAAAGAAAACTGCCTTCGGACTCCTCCATGACTCGGTCCAGGCTGTAGCTCTGTCACCTCACAGCCATGTAACCAGACAGATCTCTGCCCTTTTCTAAAAGTCCACGTGCCCTGTGGAGTCGATGGTGTCTGTTGAAAGCCTGTGCCTCTCTGATCCTTGCTTTCCATGCAGTAAAGAATAGCTAATTCTGCCGCTCCCGAGTGTCTTCCAGAACATGCGGCTGCCAAGGCAGTTGGACATTCCTCCCTTTCTCTCCAGCATGGTGGCAGGTTTGATCCCAGCCTGACACAGCCTTATGTCTTGGGCAAAAGCTGGGCACAAGCCGTAGGGCCCTGGGCATGGTGCTTCCTTAACAAACAGTATGTGCTACTAGGTATATACTGGTACTACATATATGTTCATTCACTTAGTGTGCAGTAAAGGCAGAGACATGGAGGCTGAGGCAGGCTGAGCTGTTTAGTCCTTTGCTCCTAGGGTATGGTAAGCTAGAGGCAGCTGTCATGCAGCTGGGGGTTGGGGGCAGGGCAAGGTGTCCTGTTGACTGAACCACTAGAAAAGATACTCTGTAGCAGTGGGAAACACCATCCACCCTGTTTGAGGACAGCAGCCACCAGATCCAAGCACTTAATTGTATCTTCCCCATCTCTTCCATACAGAGGGGAAAGGGTCTCACTGGGGACAGGCAAGCTAGGCCCTGACTCCAGACTCGGTTGGAACCACCTTGTGGAACATCTGTGCCGCCACAGAACATAAAAATGTTTTCCTTCTGGCAGCTTCTTTTATGAGGGTGTAATAATATATGCGTTACAAAAATAGTTCTGTTCCTGGTGGGTCAGCGCTGCCAGCAAGCTGACCCCAGCCAGGTGTGGAGAGGAGGGAGGCCGTGGGGGTGGGCAAGGGGGCTATGGAAATTGTCTGCATGTGCCAGAATCTTGAGTTTAGAGGCCCCCTGTGTGCTCCTGGGGAGTCCATCTGCTCCACACACACACACACCCCCACACACACACACACTATTCCTTTGGGGGTCTAGTGGTTTCAGGCCTTCTCTTCTGGAAGGTGGCTCTTGATTCTGAAGTGCAAAAATGGGGACAAGGCACTGAGTTGTTCACAAGACTCTACTCGCCCAGCTGACTCTACTGGCCCAGCAGCCCAGCAGCGGCAAGAGCCCTTCACCCCAAGTGCTGTGCTCACCCCGGGGTGCCAGCACTCACTGAAATAGCCCTTGAGAGACCTCGAAGCCCCGATCCCTTCCTTGGGCGGGTTGCAGGCAAGAATCTCCCTCTGCATAGACCAGGGCACTGAGAGAGACTAGGAAGGTGCAGTTTGAGAGTTCTGAATCCCCGACCAGAGCAGTTCCCAGCAGTCCCGAGGCCGACCACTGTGACTGATTCCATGTGGGATGTTGGTTTCTAAACGTTCCTTTTTAAAATGGCTGGCAGGCCCTGTCTTTCCCAGGCGTGCCCTCAGCTACATTCAACACACACACTAACAGTTGTCTTAGCAACAGGCTTTTGCACTGGGAAGATGATGCTCCTCCAATATCGTGAAGTGCTGACCACGCCTGCAATGGAGCCATGGCTGTCATTGCAGCCATGAGCACACTCACTACTCCCGATTTTGTGTGTCAGTTCTCAGTCTAAGGAGCAGAACTCCCTGGCCCACCTTGCCAAAGAGTACCCAGGAAAGTTCCGGGCCTAGAGTAGTGGACCAAGGCCCCGATGACTCTAGCAGCCACCCCATCACCACCACCTGTGGGCAACTCATAGCTAAACCCCTTGCCAGGACCAGAACTCTGTTCTGCAATGAGTCACTTGGCTCAGGAAGGCCCTTGGCTCCCAGCTCGTACTCGAAACTGGGCTCTCATTTGCAGCACTGTACTAGGTGGCCAGCCCTCTTCTTTCTCTTTGGTGGTCAGAGCTAACTGTAGTATGAGCATGTGCCTGTTGTGGACAGTTCTGCTAAAACCTACTAGGCCCACCTCTGCCGTCAGCTAGATAGGTTGTCCCAGTGACAGGTCAGTTCCCTCTGCCAGATTGCAGGCCAGCTCAGCCCTGCTGGCATCCCCGGGTCCCTCCCATACATCTTGGCTTTGCTAGTTCTCTTGTCCTGAGTTCTGCCACACCTTGACCTCTCTCATTAGCCCACGTCTCATCCAGGAGGAGGGAATTGTAGTAACCAGCAGTTATATACCACTGTGTGGGTGCTGGGAATCAAACCCAGGTTCGCTGGAAAAGCAACCAGTGCCTTAACCACTGAGCCATCTCTCCATCCCCAATGTTGAGCTTGTAAATGCTTAAAATTCTTCTGTTGCCCTGTGAAATGAAAGATAGGCTGCTCTCTCCTTTATACTGTTGCTTCTTTGTCAGAGAGGTAAAGCTTATTGTGGGGAAACCAGAAGCCAACAGCAGAGTCTCATCTCCCTGCCAACTCCTCCCTTTGTGCACTGGGAGCTGACTGCTGTCCCCCACCCTTTGTAAACCAGGAACCTAACATTTCCCTGCACAGCTCCCAGCCTTGGAGGGGTGAGGATGCTGGCTCTGTGGCAAGAAGGGAGGTTCCTCTATAGCTGCCCACATGGATGTAGGCATGTCACTACATTCTGCTGGCCCCACAATCTTTACTGACAGGGCTGTGATCCCCCTCCCTACCCCCCAGCCAGGGGTTAGCCGACAGTATCCCACGGCTGCCATTGCTGGGATGGTCAAGATGTGGCTATTTTATGATGTAGGGAAGATTCCAGTGCCACCCCGGGCCTCACTCGAAATTGGGTAAGCAGCCTGTACCTGTGCCTGTCAGGAGTGATGTAAAGACACACCTGGTCCGTGTGGCCCTTTGCCCTCATTGTTGTCGCCCCAGGAGCCAAGAGGGGAATCTGTTCAGTGGCATCAAGAAACTGCCCTAGAAAAATAGGACTGTTTGCAACCCAAAACTTCGTCGCTTGTGCTACAGAAGTTGTCTTGTAACATAACATCTCCGTAGAGCCACTAGGGGGCAGAGGACTGTGATGTGCAGGGGCAGCCACCAGGGGCGGATGACTGAAGTACAAGGGTAGCGGTGAGTTGTGGGCAGCCTCGAGCTGGGCGGCTTTCTCTGACTCAACGTTTGTGTCTTTGCAGATGGAGAAAGATGAAACCGTGAGTGACTGCTCTCCACACATAGCCAACATCGGGCGCCTGGTGGAGGTGAGTGGCCCTGGGCTCACACTGCCCTGGTGCTGCACAGACCGGCCTGTTCCTCTGCAGCCTCCCCCTCTACTGCAGCTGTTCTTGCCCTGCCTTGGGTTTTCCGAGCTTTCTGACTTGGATGCAAGCAGAGCTCGGCTCCAGGCCTGCCCACCCCAGCATCCCTGCTCCGTCGCTGGCTCCAGGAAGCATGAAGTCCTGTTCCCCCTGATCACTGGGTGTGAACATTGATCTGAACTCAGGGTGGAAACAGATCCCTGGAACACCAGGGGCCTTGGAGCAGCTTCACTTGTGGCCGCCACAGCCTTGCCTGTCACCACATCTTATTTGGAAGGGGGGTTGTTTGGACTGGAGATGTGTTCTCTGGTTTCACAGAACTGTTCACAGAGTTGGTGGCCAGGCAGTGCTCTGGTAGTGTGGTTTAGACCCGCTCCCAGCAGTGGTCAGAATTGGCCATCAGTCCCTAGATGTTGGCTTCCTCCATGCCTAAGGACAAGAAAGACCCAAAACACAAATTATAGGTGGGGTTCTGGCAGACTGAGTATGGCTCTCAGCACAAGGGAGCAGCCTCATATCTCCCCCCTGTGGCCACAGAGGGGACTGCAGGGTGGATGGTGACAGGTGGGTGTGGGCCTCAAGGTTTCTGTTTGCCAATTCAACTGACTCACCTCCCTTCCCAGGACATGGAAAATAAAATCAGAAGTACACTGAATGAGATCTACTTTGGAAAAACAAAGGATATCGTCAATGGGCTAAGGTAATGTATCAAACCTGACGCTTTAGGGCCAAACATGGGCTTAAGTCCTATCTACTTAGCACTCTATGATCTCGGGCCTCCGAGTTCCTCATCACAAGATGTGGTCAGGGATTGCTGGGCAGTGTGAAAGGCTCAGAAGCCATCCCAGCACTTGCTGTGATCTCTGCCAGCCCCATCCACTGGGCTCATTCATCTCAGTAGCCTTTGGTGCCTTCATTTTGGAGCTAGAGAGTATGCTCAGCCCCTTTGGCATTGTGGCCTGGGAGCCCACACACAGATCCTAAGACACCAGAGAGAGCTGAGCAGCCCAGCATGGAGTTCCATTTGAGGGCCCCAGCCATCATCTCCTCGTGCTCTGGGTTCTGCAGAAGCCAGCAGGACGTAGCCCATTGGGAGGCAGAACCCAGCTGGGGACAGGGCAGTGACTGAGGAGGGCATGAACAAGATAGCACTGGCCTTGGAGTCACCAGGGTTAGGAGAGCTGATAACAATTGGGAAAGTCTCTGCTGCCCCTCTGTTGGGAGTTTGTGGGCTCCACTGGGCCCTTGGGGCCCCGTCTTCCGATGCCGTTCCCTGGTCCAGGTTCCATATTGCAGGCCAAAGAAAGGCAGGGTGTAACTTGTGAGTTTGCCCAGCAGGCCAATTTAAGTAAGACGGCAGCTCCTCCTGGTCCCCAGTGGTCCCGGCTGTCTGATCAGGCATGACACTTGGGGGATATGGGCCATATCTGCTTTCCCGCCGGGCCAGCCTCCACCATTCCCAGTAATGACAGGGACGCATGAGGACAATCTGAGCCTGTGTGGAGGCAGGTGTGAACCCCTAAAGACTGAGGCCGCTGCCAACATAGAGCTCTGTGGTTGAGACAGGCTCAGCCCAGTGCCGAGGCAGCCCATCTCTGTCCTTGCCTTCACCCATGACTGCCGGCCTCTTGTTCTGCAATGCTGTTGCTCTCTTGCTGGGGCTTCATCCTCTCCGAACACTCTCTGTAGATCTCTTGATGCTATCCCTGACAACCACAAGTTTAAGCAGTTGCAGAGGGAGCTTTCTCAAGTGCTGACCCAGCGCCAGGTCTACATCCAGCCTGATAATTGAGCCGATCCAGGTACCCTGCCTGAAGGGCGTGAGACCTCCCCACTAAACAGGACTCACCAACCTGCCAAGACCCTGCCACTAACCTGTGTCCGCTCACAGCTGGTGGGAAGGCACGTTAACTCATAGATAGCCCCAGCCCCACGTAGTGCGCGTGCGCGATGTGTGTGCTCTTCACTTTGGGCAAAGGCCAGGTTTGGGCTTGTGCTCCAGACAAGCTTAGTCTGTGGCACTACCATGGCCTCTCCAGCAGAGGGCACTGTGTGCACCCATCCCACTGGCTAAGAAGCAGGGTCTGTGTGTCTTGCCTTCTGACTCACTCACCTCATGTCTGACAGCACAGCCAGATCTCCCTGCCTTGTCTCCTACCAAGGATCCCACAGGTCCGAAAGCTACAGGACTGTTGACTTGGAAAGTATGCTCTCCCTCTGAGTCCCTCTGGGTGAACCTCCCTCCCCAAGCCAGGCCAGCATGCCTCCCGACTGGCCATTGCTGGGTACTCTGTACCCATGCTGTGTGGACCCACACAGCCTCCCCTTAACGAGCTGCAGCTGTCCTCCAGCCGGCCATGCTGATGGAAAGGAAAACAATTTTGCTTGTTGACAATGGCCAAGGACCATGACTTGGCTTACGACACATACAGATGTGCAAACGCAGTCAGCATCTGGGGAAGGAGGAAGGTTTTAAAACAAGGCTCTTGGGAAGCTGCAGGCCCCAGGGCTGGACACCAAATGCCCAGCCCAGACAAGGGCCCGTGGGACCTACAGTGAGGCTCCCAGTTAGGGGCTTCCCTGCCACGGTGGTCTGACCCGTGGGCTGACTTCAGGTCCAAGGCAACAACCATCAGTTTAGCCTCCGTGCCTTCTGCAGGCCTCCCATGTCCCCATGGAAGCAAATCCTTTTAAGGGACACTGCGCTGCCATTCCCTGGCAGGCCAGCTGGAGGTACCCTGATATGTCCTCCTCCCCACCCAGACTCAAGCTCTGCCTGAGCCCTCACACCGCTCCTCTCCCTGCTGGACTAGTGTTGGCTGCCGGTGAGAGCTTGGGCTCCTGAACCCTGCAGAGGAAGCAGATGTGCGCTTGAGTTGCGGCGGCACACGCCGTAGTGTCCGTGCTGTCTTCACTCAGGTCCCATCTTGAAGACTTTTCGGGTTTTCATGGGTCACCTCTCCAGGTCCCGCTCCGTCTCCCCCTCCCCCTTTTCAAGTGCCTCTCACAGTGTGAACTTGAGCTACTTGCCGAGCATGCTGCCCTGCCTCTTCCGCTGCTTCCTGGTTCTCAGCAGTTACTGCACATAGTTTAGTATGCTCTGAATTAACTGATGCATTGGGAAAGGAACTGTCCTGGGGGACCTTTCTCCTACTCTCGGTTTTGTTTCCTGGCCTGGAAATTAGACTTAATGATGAAGGTCCACCCTGAGATGGCTTCTGAGACTCGAGATTTATGTATGAAAAGCCCTCGGCACGTTGTCACTCTCTCCAAGCATTAGTTGCCCCAGCTCCGGTGAAGAGTGCTTTCCTGGCAACCCAGATGTGACCCAGGGGCCCAGGGTGCTCACCCCTCCCCAAGGGCTGCCTTTTAGGATGCAGGCGTGCAGGGGTTCGCTGGGCTGGGTTTGCAGCCAGTGGCACCGATGCAGAGCTTTATCCCAGTGGCTCAGCCATGCAGAGGCTGGTGCCTAAGCATTTGGTAGGGGTGGGGTGGAATTGCTACACCTGCTTCTTCAGGGTAAGGAGCCGGCCTCTGCTGCAGGTAGAGGGAGACAGACGCTTCATTAGAAGGCCTTCCCTGCACAGCGTCTCAGCCAGAAACCTGGGCAGCAGGTCCGCACTAGCCTGCCCAGGCTGCATGGTTCCTGAAGCTCCCAACAGCTTGAGGCCTGTACCCCATCTGTGGACCTAGGGATCTAGTGGCCAGGTTACCCACAGCATGGGCAGAGATGACCTCTGCCCCTGATGCCCAGCAAGGTACTGAGGTGCTGGCCCCTTTCCCACTCTCCATGGTAGGTAGTGCAGCCTGCCACCCCATGGCCGCCCCAGGCCCCTTCCTCCTTCTGTTCCGCTGATGGCCTCTGTCGTCCCCTGCAGGTCTGTGCAGACGTTTGCAGACAAATCAAAGCAAGAAGCTCTCAAGAACGACCTGGTGGAGGCCTTGAAGAGAAAGCAGCAGTGTTAAAACCTCTGCTTCGCGCTAACTGGACACGCCATGCACTCGTTAGATTCCTTTCTTAGAAAACTCGTTTTCTGCTCCTTTTCCCTCTTCCTCTCCCTCCCCGATGGGTCACACATAACAGTTTGCATCGACCACGCAGCGCCATCGCTCCCCAAGAATAAAGCCCGATAACCACCTTCCTCTGGCTCCAAGGCCTGCTTCCCACGACGTTTCCATAGAGACCGTGTGGTTTTTGTTCGCCTGGGCCCCGTCTTCCTCCCCTCTCCCATTTATAAGCATAAATACACAGTCAGCCACTGCGCCCTCCCATCTTTTTGTTACATTGGTGTAAAAAATGTAAAACAAAAAACTTTTATGAACTAACTGGTGTGTGAAAGAGAAGAAAAACTGGAAATCTGATTCCATGTGTGTTTGGGAGTTGCTTGGAGTTGGGGGCCGGAGGGACAGGGGACAGCTGTGGAGCACCGAGAGAGGTCTTCAGCACTGTCCTGCACAGATGTGCCCATCCCAAGGAGACCATGGTGGGGGTGGGGGCTGGCAACCGGCTGCTCTTCTGGCCAGGTGCTTTTCTGTCGATTTTTATGGAATGCAAAAGGAGTTTTTGTTTTATTTTGGTTTTTTTTTGTAAAGCTTAAACAAACAAAAAAGAAATCTACATCTTCTACTTGAGCCTCCATACTTAAAAAAAAAAAGGAAAAAAAAGAACAAAAAAATAAATAAAAAGAAACTGGGACACAGTTAGTGCTGGCCTTGTGTTCTTTCTCACCTGCCTTGCTCTTGGAGCGCTTCACACCCTTCACACCCCATACCCACATGGCAGACCACACCCACACCCTCCCAGGAACACAGCAGTGGCCTGGGAACCAGCCATTCCCTGCCATGTGTGCAGGTTCCTGTTCACATTCCACACTGACGGGAACTCCAGGCACTGAGCTCTTCAGAGACCCTCCCTCTCTGCTGCTCGGGCCCAGGGCTTGCTTAACAGCTTTCTTGAGTAGCTAGCTAGCTAGTCATCTTCTTCCCTGGGTTTAATGGCTGCATGCTTGCCCATCTTCTATAATGTCTCTGATCCTTTCTTCAGTCCTGGTTTCTTTTATTTGGTCCTGTGTGGAGTGCAGAATTCTTTAGGAGATAACGGCACTGGTGCCATGACTCCATACGTGTAATATCAACATCGAAGCTGAGCAGGAGGATTGTGAATTCCAGACTGGCCTGGACTATACATCCATATGTTGTCTTAACTGAAAAAGAAGACTGGGCATCGGAAGCTTCAGTGTAACTCCAGGCTTGCTTGGCCTCCATAGTGAAACCATCCCAAAGTAAATACTGAAATTAGACACTGTGGACCAGAGAGATGCTGCCTAGTAGGTAAGGGTGCTTGCCAGAAGGCTAGAGTTTTTAATTCTGGAACCCACATGAGGAAAGGAGAGAACTGACCAGCAGGTACACACATGAAAATAGAATGTAAAAATAAGCCACAAGATAGGGAACAGGATGGGGATGTCACTCAGTGAGAAAGTACTTCACTAGCACTTGCCACCCCTAGCAGTGCACAGGCGTGCACCACACACACACACACACACACACACATGCTACTGTTAGTGCCACAGATTTAATTGCTTTGAACTCAGGAAAATGCAGAAACAAGCATGAATCAACTAGTTCTTTGAGGTTTTGTTTATTTTAATAAAGCAACCTGTAAGATAGGTCAGAACGATGAAAAGGTGGGCCTTGTCCACAAAACATTTCTGTGGGCTGAGTGGGACAGGCACAACACACTGTTTCCTCTATGCCACTTAGCTAAGGGACAGGATGGAACAAGTCAAAGAATGCTGGCAGCCTGGCTCACTCGGTAGCCCCCTGCTCTTTTCCTTGCATGCATCGGAGAGAGCCATGATGCTAGCAGTGCCCCTGGGCCATTCGTAAGGAGCAGGAGGACTGGAAATGTAGGATAGAGTGCTTTCCCAGCATACACAAAAAAGCTCTGAGGTGATTCCAGTGCCACACAAACTGGGCACGATGGGGGACGCCTGCAATCCTGAAATCCTAGCGTAAAGAAGGATCAAGAGTTAACAGTCATCGACAAGGGCTGTAGTGATGGTTCCATGGTAAAAAAAAAAAAAAAAAGCACTCCTTGCCCTTCTAAAGCACCCAGGTTTGACTCCCAGCACCCACATGAAAGGTCTCATCCCAGCTCTAGGGGATTCCAATCCATATTCTGGCCTCTCTGATTACCACACATAAATGTAGGCAAAACATTCTTACACATTGTTTTAAAAGTTCAAAGTCATCTTCATCTTTAGCTAGCTCTCTAGGATGATCCTGCCCAAAAAACTCCCAACCCGAGAGTTGGGTGTGGTGTGGCATACGCCTTTATTCCAAGCACTCGGGAGGTAAAGGCAGGTGGATCTCTGTGAGGTTGCGGCCACCCTGGTCTACAGAGAGAGTTCCAGAACAGCCAGGGCTACATAGAGAAACCCTGTTTGAGGGTATGGGGAGAGCTTGTGCAGCACTCAAGGAGGAATGTTGCTACTATACAGATCACAGGAGTGATAAAAAACAGTATGGCCTAGGTCAGAGAGGGGCTAGGAAAAAGGAAGCAGCGAGACTAGGAACCAGGCTGGTTACAATATTGGCTCTCAGCCTCACCATGGCTTACCACCCTACTCCCTTTCATTTAGGACCCCTTGCTGGCGTCTTAATTCTGCTTGCCTTAGGCCCTTGGGACATCAAGAGGTTAACTGGCTTTGTCTGCCAACAGATCGACTCCCTGATGGCGAAGCCTATACAAGTACACTATCACAGGCTTGACCTCAAGGAGTGTGGTCAAGGGGGCCACTTCCCAGGGAAGCCTCCTTCTGCTATTGACAAAACTAAAACATCTCCCACCGAGGTGCACCTTGTGTTGAGTGCAATGAAGAGGCCTCCAAAGGCACCTACCCTGGGCTTCACGGGAGTATACCTGGTTGCATGAAGGTTGATGTCAGAAAAACCCTTCCCTCCTCAAAAAGGCATTATGGCGAGCCTGAACAATCTAGCCTGCAAAGGCTGGGTTAGCTTGCTTCAGGATATATGTCACATAACCATCTAGGGGGACCAGGATCCCTGTTCCCACTCATGGTGAGATAGTGTCAGTAGCCTACCTTCTTACTTGGAAAAAAAGGGAGGAATTGCCAGGAGCGATCATGGCATAAGAATTAGAGATTGCCAGCTTTTTCTTAGAATAGCCCATCGAGTTAAAAGATAGCTACTTTCAGTCCCGATCTACATTCTCCTCCTTCCCAAGTTCCTCAGAAGTAGAATTTAGGGCTTACAGGATTGCAGTCAGGTTACTTAGTAACCCCTCCTTATACAGTTATTTAGCAACTCCTGAGACCCCCCCCCCAACAACCTGCTTATCTCTACCTACATTTCCCCTTAGCAGATATCCTGCTCACCTTCAGTGACCCATAATGAAGAACAACAGAAGGTCCAGTTACCAGACAACGACCTCCCCTTGGTTATCCACTTTATTGCCTAGTCTTTTGGGCCCTTTGTGGGTCTTATATTGCTTTTCTCTTAGTTGACAGCATGAGATGCTTAATCAGGATCGTGGGTTCATGCCCCATATTGGGCGCCAATTCTGCCCCAACCCACAGGGCAGTCAATGACAAACCGGGGAACACCTAAGGAAAAATGAAGGACAAGGGATACAAAGAGGTACAGCAAGACGATATTCTGATCAAGCTGACAAATTTTATTTTCTCAGGGGAGGCTTATATAGGGCCATAGGCAGGATGTGAGCAGGGTTTGCACGTGGGCAGGATAAAAGGGTCAGTAGAAGGAATGCCCTGAACTAATCTTTAACTGACTGTAAAAATGTAGCAGGAGGAATATCCTGAGCTATTCTTTAACTGGCTGTAAAGCTACAACAGGAGGAATATCCTGAGCTATTCTTTAACTGATTGTAAAACCACAAGCCTGTATCTAGGAATGCTCTGTTAAACATTCTGCTTATTTCTCTTAAGAGGCAGTAATTTTCTATCTCAGAGGCCTGAGGTTGTGAGGATAGTGATGGTCCCCAACAGGAGTTGAATAGCTATTTGGGTTCATGAGCCAGGTGTTGTCAGCAGGTGCTGTGCCCCGCTCTCTAGATACCACCTGGAGATTTCCCCAGCATCTGTTCATAGAACTGGAAGCAGCTCTGGTAAGAAAGCCATGGCAAAAGCCCCGGGCTAGGTGTCGCTCTTGTTCTAAGCTTAACCCACACGTGTCTGCAACCCTTGTACATAAAATAATGGTATACACCCTGACCTCTGGTGACCTAAACTTCCTGACCCAAGATTTCCTCATTTAATAGCCCAGTGACTAAGGACTTCAAGACAGGCCCTGAGCTGACTTCCATACACATGAAACCTCCCCACCGAGGGTGGAGTATGCCCATGTCAATCTTTTCATATCACTGCATCCTCACATAGCCTTAGTGCCACACATGCATGGTAGCGCCTCCTCCTCTCCTCCTACTGTACATGGAATGGCACTGACAGGCTGGTAACATGCAGACTGTGAAAGAATTCACCAAGACAAAAAAAGGCAGGAAAGTTTATTAGATGCACAACTTCTACAGCAGCAACAAGCAAGACAGCAGAAGACCATCGGAGGCAGTCTATCAGCTCCCACCATGGGGGCTTCTGTGCAGGCTGGCAGTTCAAGGCCAGTGCACAGTTGTTTAGCTCTTTTTTTTTTTTTTTTTTTTTTTTTTTTTGAGACAGGCTCCCACTATGTAGCCTCGGTGGGGATCCTGTCTGACTGTTTTGAAGGCAGGAGTCATTATGCTATTTATTAGGAGAGTTGAGTTGCTCTGTTTCCTGGAACCTGACCTTACACAGCCCATGACCTTGACTTGTTTTTGAGAATGCATTAACCCTTCCTGCCCCTCCCTAATCACATGTGACCACATAATGCTCTTTAGGATTTTTCTTTCCTTATTGCCCCATTGTCTCCCTTCTGTAAAAATACTCAGGTGATTTTACTCCTTAAAATGGAGTAAAACTCAGGGCTGCTCTCTATAACCCAACTTAGGAGGCAGTCAGTTGCTATCCAGCTCTTGGGTACATTCCAACAAAAATCAAGTTTGTGGGACTGGAGAGATTAAGAGCACTGGCTGCTCTTACAGAGGTCCTGAGTTCAATTCCCAGCCACCACACGGTGGCTCACAATTATCTACAATGAGATCTGGTGCCCTCTTCTGACATGTAGGGAGAACACTATATATATATATATATATATATATATATATATATATATATAATAAAAATAAATCTTTAAAAAAAATTAAACTTGCTTCAAATTTGGCTCAAATTGTGGTGGGGATTAACAGTGGTTGTCCTGGAACTACGTAGTTCAGGCTGGCTTTGAATTCAGAGATCCACCTGCCTCTGCCTCCCAAGTGCTGGGATTAGGTTGTTTAGGTTTTAATGGGTGGGACATCTGTGTGGGGCTCCTACTTGTGATTTAGGATGACACATCATTTCACCGAGGGGCAATTTTTACAGTATGGGTTGTCTCTCTCTGGGATCTGGAGCTATCTATGTAACACAACATGAGTAGCTAGGGGTCAAAGTCTTGATTACCCGAGCCTGCTCCTTAAAGGGTAGAATCCTCTATAATCAAGATATCCCAAAGATAGATTGTAGAGTCAGGTGCAGTGGAGTAGGCCTGGAATCCCAGCACTTGGCGGGCAGAGGCAGGAGGATCATCCTTGGCCACCTCCAGAGTTCAAGCTCAGCCTGGGACATGTAGACAGTTCCCAAGAACAAACTAGTTGGTGCGTTTTTTTTCCTTTCTTGCTCGATAGTTAGGTTTTAATTTGTGTTTCCCTTATTCTACTTGCTTTGAGAAGCACAGGCAAATATGACAGGCCCCAAATAACTCAGTTAAGAATTGGCCTCGGCAAGCAGATTTCTGTGAGTTCGAGACCAGCCAGGTCTACAGAGCTAGTTCCAGAAATGGCTCCAAAACCATAGAGAAACCCTGTCTTGAAAAAAAAAAAAAAAAAAAAAAAATTGGCCTCAGTTCCAGCCTCCTGAAATGGAAGAAGTCAGTTTCTGAGGAAGACAGGAACAAAGGGCAATCAATCACCAGGCCACTGCTTGCCCCTTCCTCATCCCCCACCCCCGCCCCTAGAATAAGGATAAAAATTTCAGGTACTAGGGCAGGGCCAACTCCAACCCTCTCCACCCCTCAGGTCCTCAAGGAAATAACCAAATAAGGACAAAGCCTGGTACTTGTCCAAGAAGGGAAAAAGCTATAGATTTAGCCCACTCCTGGTATCCTGGTATCACTAGTCTTAACCAACTAGAAACGTCCTAATATAATTGTCACTTGCATAAAACAATCATAGATAGAATGATCACACTCCTTTTTAGAATTCTTTTAGTTGCTGGGTATTGGTGGCACACGCTTTGATCCCAGCACCCTGGAGACAGAGGCAAGTGGATCTCTGTGAGTTCAAGGCCAGTCTGGTCTAGAATGAGTACTGTCTGATATAAAAACAGGTCCACTGCAAGAAGAATGTACTCTTAGCCACTGAGCCATTTCTCCAGCCCAATTAAGTTCAGTTTTCAACAGTTACTTTTAAAGACATGAAATTCAGAATCTAAATATCTTATATAAACTCATGAAACTCTGAAATCTATTTAAATTGTTATGCTTTGGTGTCTTATTTGCACTTATTTCTAGGTTTTTGTTGTTTTTAAGACAGGGTCTTGTGTAGCCTAGACTGGCCTCACAATGTTGAACATGTGCTGCAGACCAGCTTCCTTGAAGGGTGGGTGATGCTGGTCAGGTCCCAAAGAGGATGTGTTGAGTTTGCGAGGGGAAAGGAGGAGACAGACACAATCTGTACGAGTTTATTGAAAAAAAAAAAAAAGAATACACCTTTTAAACTCAAAAGCTGCACACAGGAGTTCATGGAAGAAAGAGGCAAATGAGCTGGGCTGTGACTTGCTATCAGGAGTTGAGGAAGCTAGCTAGCATTGACCTTGACAGGAGGCACCAGTCAAGTTAATGGAAGGGCCACAAGTTCCTCTTGCCAGAGATATTTGTCTGCCTTTTTAGCAAGCAGGAACTTTCAAACCCTTGAGGAAATGGGTGCTTGTCTAAATGCCTGACATTGAGAAAAGGACTTTCTTGGGAGATCAGACAATCCATTATAGAATATTGCAGTTTTGACAGGCGGTGGTGGTGCACACCTTTAATCCCAGCACATGAGAGGAAGAGGCTAGCAGATCTCTGTGAGTTCGAGGCCAGCCTGGTATACAGAGTGAGTTCCAGGACAGTCAAGAGCTACATACAGAGAAATCCTGTCTCAAAAAAAAAAAAAAAAAAAAAAAAAAATGCAGTTTCTTGTATGGTTTAATTTATCCAATTAACTGAAGCTTAAAAATAAGCAAAGATGAAGCTAGACAAATATTACTGTGAACCTGAGCAGGCCTTAGGAATTTATAAATCTCAATCATCAAATATGAATCAAATATGAATCATATGTAACTTATCTGAATTTTCTAGCAGCTTGGTGTTAACTTGAATGGGAGTAGGCAGAGTTATCACATTATGTAGTTCCAAGGTAGCGGGGACATTTTTTCCCCGAAGAATTATTTTGTTTACCATTGTACACATTTCATCTTTCACCAAAGCCAGCATAAAACTTCCCCAAAACGAAAGGTGCTGGAGAACTGTGATCCACAAAGTCGAAATGCTGGAAATGTTAAAAAGCAATGGTCACCATGTGGACCATGCCAAGGATGGTTGCTAACGATAAGCCAGTCTTCCCCACTGCCAGAGTCTCCAGACAAGTGTCTTGGGTGTTTAATTGAGCATCTACTATATTCTGGAGACACGGTGATATAGAGTCAGCTGTCTTTGCCCAGTTGTCTGGTTGGGGTGCAGAGTGGGGTAGCCTATTCTCAGAGCTGTGTTGGGCAGGGCTGGAAGACAGCCTAGGACCTTATTAATTGAACCTATGGGGAAAGTATTCTCTGAAGCCAATTCAGAAGGGGTAGAGAAAGGTGATTTGGGACTCCCCCCGCCTCCAGGAGAGATCTGGAAAGCATATTGTACTAGCTATAGTGAGGGGGAAAAAAACAAACAAAATAAAACAAAAAAACCCAAGTCTGATAAATAACCAATGAGAATCCTAGCTTGGGGGCTGATGTGAGTTATAGTAAGACCCTATCTCAAAAATAAATAAACACACACACACACCCTGTCAAGCTGGCTGTCCCCCAGAAACATGAGAAGTGAGGTGACTAAACTCTCTTGGATGGGGACACTAATGTAGTTACCATTTCTTCACTCATGTGACAGATGCCAGGACATAAACCCAAAAGTGCATCTCATGCAGTCAGCACTAATGGCTTCTAAGGTCAATATCACTGTTTTCCATGTTGTGGGGGAGGGCACCAGGCTTAGGGAGATAGCCCAAGTCACACAGCTCAGCAGTGGCTGAGGCAGGCATGATACACTGAAGTCCCTCAACCACTCACCAGGGACAGACCTGGCAAATATAACCAGGCTGTGCAAGCCCCCTTCTGTGACCCCTACTTGGAGCACTGGAGTAAGCCTCCAAAATAGAGGGATCGAGGTTAGATAAACTGCAGTCTGACTGCCAGAGTGGAGACCACACCTCCTGTCAGACAGGCATTCCCCACAGGCAAAGCACATCTCCCCCACGAAGGGATGTCACCCTCGCTGGAGAGAGGGGTGAGGGTTTCTCAGGAGGCAGGGCTGTCATTTCTCCTGCCCACACAGCTTCAGTTCAAGCCTGTATTTGGTTGGGGTCATGTGCCACACTGAGGCCCCAGACCTTCAGGCTTGGAAAGGTGCCATCCAACCCTAGGAAAGTGGCAGAGAGCCAGGTCCCAAGATGGGATAGAGCTAGACATCCAGCTGCAAAGAGCACCTGAAGCCAGCGGTGGGCTGGGAGCACCTCATGCCTTGCCTGGGCCAGAGCCAGGACCCTCTCTGCCGCTGCAGGCAGAGAAGCTAAAGAGCACTCAGAGGTGGCTGCCCTCTGTCTGTCCCTGTCAGGTAGCCTCTGCCCCTGCATCTGGCTTTCTGGATCTAAAATAAGGCCATGCAAATAAGCTGGGGCTAACAGGAAAGGTAGCTAGTTCTCTGTCCCCATGTCACCAGAAGGTGGTGGCCCACAGGAAGGTGGAGCAGTGAGCGGGAACCACCCTTTCTCCCTTCCTTTCTGGCTTCATCACTCTGTACGCCATCTACTGTCCCCCACCCATGCTTCTAGTCACCATCTTCTTCAGGAGGGCACCAGTCTGTCCCTCTTCTCTACCTCCAAGGTGACCTTCGCTGAGTTCTGACTACACAAGACACCTGGCCACATGCCTCACTTTGGGCTGCCCACCTCACCTTATACAACCCAGGAGAGGATGCAGAACGCAGGAGCATGGCCATATCCAGCCAAACCCCACCCAGTTATCTGCCTCTTCCCGAGCCCAGGAGCAGGGAGCCCACTGATGTGTCCCCACTGCTGACATGTCCCACCTCCAGGGTAGGGACAGAGATAAAAGTTACAAAGTCGAGGGCCCATGGATGGTGGACGTGGTTCCTCCTCCAGTCTGGACTTACCCTGGGTCGCTGCCCAGACCCCAAGCACCATGGGAAGGAGCAGCAGAAACAGGCCCAGCTGGAAGGTATCATTTACTAGGTTGTGTCCAGTCAGAGGGACAACCCTGAGTCCCCTGGCTATGATGTAGCCTGGGGTACACAGGCAAATTGAGGTAGATGGATGGGAGGCGGCCACCCCATCTTCTGGGGTCTCAGCTTTGGGTCCCCTGTAGGTTCCTCGAACGGCTGTCTTAGACCTGAGAGGTATGTCCTGGCATGGCATGCTCCAACTCCAGACCCATCTAAAGGCTGGGCATGGAGGGGAGGCAACCAGGCCCAGAGTTCCAGGCCTCCCTCAGGCCGCCTCCGAGGCCCAGTCCAGCGGTGGCGACAGTGTCACTGCCCACACCTTGCCTTCCTGGGATGGCAGCTGAGGTTCCCATCATCCAGGGCACAGGTCAGCTTGGCAGGAGGGGCTCTCTCTCTGAGGCAGCAGCAGTGGTGTGGCTCCTGTACACCAGGAACTGGATGGAGATCTGAGGGTGGTATTAAGGCCAGGAACACTGGGCTGGAGGTGCTGTCACTCCTCCCTGTTCTGCAGGTGACAGGGGCCAGCCAGGACCTCCTGGCCTTGCCCTTGTTCTCCCACCACCCTGAATGCCATCTCTGATCTCCCCAGTTCAGCCAGCAGGAACCCTGGAATAGGACCCTGCCTTCCTCTCTACATATAACACTAAGAGGCTGGGCCAATTTGGGCCTTTCTCCCTCTCTGCATCCCATGGAGGACTTAGCTAACGTTGAAACAAGGGCCTTGGCTACTTTCTGCCCAGTGGGACCCAAATAATATCCACTTGGCAAATATCAACAGAGCACTCGCTAAGTGCCGGGTCACATGGGGAGGATGTTCAGACAGAGACTATGAACTCAGATGACAGGAGAGAGGCACTGAGGGGCTGATGACTTATGCTGTGTCACTCAGTGAGGAAGCAGTGGAGGTCAGGATCTGAGCCCACTCACCCTTGTCTTCATGAGCTGGCTCTCGTCTCCATGCATGGGTGCACTGACTTGTCTATTCCTCAGGGCCTTTGCACAGGCTGCGGCTGGATTCTGCTCCCCAGCTCTCGCCTGAACAACTTCTCCCCCTACTCAGGTGAGATGATACCCACTGAGGCCTCTGTTTGCCCAAACCAGGACAGCCCAGTGGTGATACACACACTCCTGCTGTCTCGCCCTGCAGCACTTGGTACCACTGAAGTGAACTAACTACCTCTTGCTCACTGATGGTGCTGGTCCTGGCTAGGTGCCTGATACACACAGGTAGTGCATAATCTTGATGACCTGATGGATACAGATGGATAGAGGGGGAGGATGAGTAGATGGATGGATAAATGGGAAGTTAAATGAGTGGGTGAATAGATAGATGGATGAGATGTTGGATGGGGAGATAAATGAACAGATGGATGAATGGATGGGTGGGTGAGTGGGTGGATGGATGAGGTTGGAGGGGTAAACGTAGTTTGAATGAAAGGTCAGGTTGTAGATGGAAGGATGGGTGGATGAATGGATGTGTGGATGAACAGGTGAATGGATGGATGGTGGGTGGGAGGATGGATGGATGGACAGGCAGATGGATGGAGAGCGAATGGACAGATGAATGAATGGGTGGATGCTTTGGATGCTGGTAAATGGAGGAAGGATAAAAGGAGACTATAGATGGAAGGTAGCTAGGTGAATGTATAGGTGGACAAATACATAAGATGGATGGGTGGACAGATGTACAGAGGGGTGCATAGACAGGGATGTGCATGCTAAAGCAGAGACTGCCTTGCCTACATACATGACTTTGCCAACATCACACACCTTAAAGGATACAATGGTGTCAAGCAGCAGCACACCCAGGCTGCCCACGAGCCAGGGCAGGTGGTGCAGCAGGTAGCTGCCCTCACTCTGGCCCACCTCAGGGTTCTTGAGCAGCACGCTCAGCCCGTACAATGTGTTCCCCAGCATCACCAACGCAAACAGTGAGTAGGAAATGCCTTGGGTTGACTGCCGCAGGAACTGGGGGGGAAAGGGTGATGTCACAGACCTCAAAGAGGGTTCTTGTCTACAATACCAGCACTTGGGAGGCTAAGGCAAGAGGACCATGAGTTCAAGGTCAAGTTTAGACTATATAGCCAGCTAGGGGTCAGTCTTGGCTACAGAGAGAGCCCTGTCCCCAAAACCAGAAAGGTTCTTATCACTCTGGATTGAAACTATCTGAGTGTATATGTTCCCTGTGTGGCACATATTCTGAGCTGGCTTTTCATTGTGTGCCCAATGCCCAGCATGGGCTTGGCACCCAAAACAGCCCTATCCAGTGCCCAACTCGAAATCCCAACTCCACTCACTTCTTCCGGGACCTCAGACATCACAGCTGCCGCCTACGCCTGCTGGCATGTGGCTCTACAGCCCTCACAGATTCCTCCTGCTGGGCAAGCCTCCAGTGGGGGTCCTCACCACTCTCCCACTCGGCGCGCAGTCTCATGTGCACAGCACGTGCCATGGGGCCAATTTGCCAGCCGGGTGACTGCTCACATCAACAGCAGGTGTGGTCAATAGCTTCTGAACAAACACTCCTGCACAATACCACTGCTTAACCTGCCAGCCTTCCTTCCACATGACCCACACCCCTACCGAAAGCTCACATTGGTGCGGATCTGAGGCAGCCTTGAGAGCAGGTACAGCACGCTGGAGATGGAGCCGATGACAAAGCCGATGACCTCCTTCTTTGTAAAGGGCTAGAGGGGGGTGCGGAAAGGGGCATTCACTCTCTGGTGGGAGTTTTTTTGGGGGGGCAGTCTCCCCAGGAGGGTGAGTAGCACCCACAACTTAACATACACCTGATCATGCAGGGGAATGCGAGTCGGCCCGCCCACATTACCACCACAGACCCATCCCCTACCTTATTGCCCGGCTCCACAGACAAGAGTGTCCGTCCCCGGAAGCCTTCCCTGGACACAGCCGCAGGATCAGCGATGCGTAACAGTGGTGCGACACACACCGTTCCCAAGATGAACAAGAGCACAGAGTTGATAGGGGCAGACACTGGATTGAGGCAGGAGAGAAGCCAAGATTAGGTGACAGCAGACAGCCTGGGATGGCAGCCCCAGCCTTGCTTCTCAGTAGCTGTGTGACCCTGCACATGTGACCTAGTCTCTCTGAGCTTCAGTCCTACATCTGTAGAATGGGGACACAACAGTATATAAAGGGAAGAAGGTCAGGGCAGAGGCATCAGCACTGTCTTGGGGTCTGCCCCATGGCTCACCCTGCTTCTGGCTCTGAACCAGAGAGGAGAGAGCAAGTGTGGTCTCCCTGAGGCTGGGTCTGCACATGTCTCCATCTCAGCCTGCTTCAATTCAAGTCCCAGGCTTCCCAAGGCCAGCAGAGCCCGACCCAGAGTGACCCCTGGACTCACATGGAGAAGACCGGTTCTTGAACTTATAATGGAAGTACAGGGTCAGCATCATGAGGTCGGCCAAGACGTAGTACACAGCCGTGTAGGTCTGGGAAAGAGAAGCAGACCCGGGCACTGGCTGCTGTCCCAGGCCCTGATGCAACACCCTCACCCCCACAGTCCTCCACTGCACGCCATCTGGTGACCAGCTTTTTGTCGCGTCACCTCTTTGACCCTCGTTTCCTCAACTGAACAAAAGGGATCAGGTGGACAAGGGGTCCAACAAGAATGCAGCCTGGACAGTCCAACAAAGCATAGAGTGACAGAGTTCATCCAGAATGGCCAAGGTCTTCCCGACTCACCCTAGCCCCGCTGGCCACAGAATGATGTCTGCCGTTCCCAAGGAAAACCCCATTTGCTACTTTGAGGGCCCTACACTCAAAAATTTTAGTTGGGCCCCCAACCCCTCAGAATCACAGCCCCCCCTGTGGTGTGGTATGCATGCATGGCAAATGGGGAAACTGAGAGTTGAACAGAACCCTGACTCACGCATGGTTACACAGCATGGTGGCCATGGAGTGTTGGCTGACAGATTGGAGGCCCTTGCCTGTCCTACCACAGTTGCTCCCACTTGTCCTTAGCTGCCCTACTGTGCCTGGGACCCACCCACCTGCAGGGGTAGCTGGTCTGCAAGGAAGGAACCAATAAGGTTGCAGGAATCTCCGCCGATCCAGCCTAGAAGGAACCACAGCGATAGGGCCTGGTCCATGTTCCCCGTCTTGCAGGCCTTGATGTATTGGCTGTGGAAGAAGAGGGGACACGTGTTCAGAGGCTGAGGCCTAAGAAGCCACTGAAAAGGCCAGTAAGAACCTGGCAGTGGTGGCACATGCCTTTAATCCCAGCACTTGGGAGGCAGAGGCAGGCGGATCTCTCTGTGAGTTTGCGGCCAGCCTGATCTACAGAGAAAGTTCCAGGATAGCCAAGGCTACACAGAGAAACCCTGTCTCGAGAAACAAACAGAAAACACAAAGGCCAAGAAGAAGACCTTAACAGTAAGAGTACAACTGGGGCAGTGATGGTCAAGAGATGGCCCAGGTGCTTAGGTGGGACCAGAACTTCAGTTGGAATTTTGCCAGTGGGAACCCTTATTAGCTCAGTGCACAGCAGCTGTGTCTTTCCAGAGATTCACCGCCTTATTTAGATTCTCCCCTCATGCATCCTGGGGTCTCCAGAAGGGACGAAGGGTCAATACAGGTTTCTAAACATGCATCAGCCTTGAGAAACACTTCTTTAAAATCTGGTTGGAGGGACTTGAAAGCAGGGGTAGGGCAACTGAGGTGGGTCTGAGGCCCAGCCTAGCCCTTTTTTAGGAGCCACTGATGGTAAGACATGCAGAGCTACAGCCTGGCCATTCTCAGGGCACAGCAGAGAAGGTGGCCAGGCTCCTGTAGCTCTGTTTCACAGGCTTCTGGTCCCCTAGCTGTCTTCCCTAAGGCCCTCCATGTTGTGGCTGGGTTGGGCATGAAGTTAAATGTACTGTGAGTCGTTGCTGCTAAGGGGTCTGGGCACAGACCTAAGCCTCTATGGGTACTGACTCCTTGAGTCCCAACACAAGGACATACAGATCTATTAGGATAGTGCACACTGAGGACAGAGATGGCTGTCTCACTCCTAAGATTCACCCTTGGCCAGAGCCTCTAGCCTTGAATGCTGTTGTCACTGTTCCTTTGTTTGTGACAAGGCCTCAGATAGTCCAGGCTGGCCTCAAACTCTCTGTGTGTGCCTCTACTCCTGGCTCTTTGGTCTTGCTCTTCACTGTTATATATGGTGGTTTACAACTACCGGCAACTTCCAATTCCAAGAAGTCAGACACCTTCTTCTAACCTCTGAGAGCACTGCACATATGAAACATACACACACACATATAAAATAATATAATAAAAATTAAAAAAAAGAGAGAAAGAAACTCAGAGCCAGGTGCAATGGTACAAGACTTTAATCCCAGCCCTCAGGAGGCAGAGGCATCTCTCTGAGTTTGGGACTCTTGCAGAAGACCCAGATTCAGTTCCCAGCACCCATAGGGAGTCTCACAAGTGTCTGTAAACCACAGTCCCAAAGGATCCAGATACCATCTTCGGGCACCAGGTCCCAAGCACATATGTGGTGGGTGCACTCACATTCATGTAAGCAGAATAACCAAACGTGTAATTTTGTTTTTGAAGAAAATGAAAAGGCAGTCAGGAGTGATGGCTACCCATGTAATCCCAGCAATTCAGAGACAGAGGATCAGGAGTTCAGGGTTACAGGATCTCCCTAGATAGGTCAGGTTGGCCTTGAACTCATGATCCTCCTGCCTAGCTTCCCAGGGACTGGAAAGGGGTATACAGGATCCACAGGATCAACATGGAGGTCAGAGGACAACCTTTGGCATTAGTTCTCACTTTCTACCTTGCTTGAGGTGGGGTCTCTTGTTGACATCTGTACATGCCAGGCCAGCTGGCCTACAAGTTCCTAAGGATTTTCCCGTTTCTGCTTCCTACCTCACCGGGAGCACTGGATGCATCACTGTATCCATCTTTACATGGGTTCTGGGGATTCAAACTAAGATCCTCACGATGAAGTAGCAAGCAACTTACACTGAATGATCTCTCCAGCCAACAAGCATACATTTTTTAAACATTTATTTATTTATTATGTATATAGTGTTCTTTCTGTCTTGTATGCATGCCAGAAGAGGGTGCCAGATGTTATTATAGATGGCTGTGAGCCACCATGTGGTTGCTGGGAATTGAACTCGGGACCTCTGGAAGAGCAGTCAGTGCTCTTAACCTCTGAGCCATCTCTCCAGCCTGCATACATTTTTTTTTAAGATTTATTTTTAGTTTATGAGTATTCTGAGGGGCTGGAGAGATGGTTCAGAGGTTAAGAGCACTGGCTGCTCTTCTAGAGGCCCTGAGTTCAATTCCCATTAACCACATGGTGGCTCACAACCATCTGTAATGAGATCTGGTGCCCTCTTCTGGTGTGCAGGCATACATGCAGACAGAACACTGTATACATAATAAATCTTTTAAAAAAAGTGTTCTTCCTAAATGAATGAATGTATGTGCACTATGTATGTCCCTGGGTGGAGGCCAGAATAGGGTGTCAGATCACCTGGAACTGGAGTTAGAGACAGTAATCATGTGTGTTGGGAACCAAACGCAGGTCTTCTGTAAGAACAGTAAATGCTCTTAACCACTGAGCCATCTCCCCAGCTCAGAAACAATTTTGTTTGTTTGTTTTTGTTTTTTGAATCAGGGTTTCTCTGTGTAGCAGTGGCTGTCCAAGAACTCTGTAGACCAGGCTGGCCTTGAACTCAGAGATCTGCCTCCTTAGTGCTAGGAATGAAGATGTACACCACCACTGCCCACCCAGCCCAAGAGCAATTTTGAAAATAGTGAGAACAGCCTTAGATGATAGAGCCCTTGGTGAATTCCTGACTTTGCTTCGGCCTGCTTCGCCCTCCCACGATGCCTAGCCAGGCATGACAACAGAGCCAGCCAGGCATGACAATAGCGGTCCCTTCTCTCACACACCTGCTGTTCCTGGCCAGCTGTTTCCTGCCTACTAGTAGCTCATACCTCCAAGATCTTCCTGGCTGTAGCCTTTCCTGCCTCTGCTGAGTGGCCAGGGGCTCTCTTTCATGCTGCATGTAATTGGACAGTGGCACTATGCTAGCTTTCCTGCTTGCACACATACTGGGTAAACGAGATCTAAGTAAGGCCCAGAGCAAGGCAATGATCCACCCAGGTCATAGCCATTAGGTGGCAGAGCAGAGTGTGGACACTCTGGACCCCTGTGTAGTAACGTCCTCATCCCCCCCCCCCCCCAGCCCAGCAACAGCCACATGATTTTGTAGCCCCTGCTCCATCTTCAACACCAGCCTGTCTGCACTGGAAGGATGCAGCCATACCTACAGCATTCCAGGAACTCCCATTCTCCAACCCCATCTCTTTCCAACTGAGCAACAAATGAAGAGCACATTACCTAGGCCCTCGTCTCGTCTGTAAAACAGGGAAAGGAACTCAAAGGAGATAAACCCCACCAGCACCTAGACATAGGCCAAAAATATAGTGGGCGTTCAATACATGGTAGAAAATGTTATTTTAGCATCAGAATCACTTGACGTAAGGTCTGGCTTGTGTTAGACTCTGTGTAGGCTTCCGTCTTCAGAGCAAGCTGGCCATCAGCGAATGTAATCAGGGAGGGAGGGAGTATATCTGGCCTGGAATCTAGACAGGCCAGTGACCAGCCAGCCAAACCCTCTGTGCCGTACATGGACTGCTACCAACCCCACCTGCTCCTGCCACATAGGCGTATATACTCACGGGAAGGTAGATGCTGCAAAGCAGAGAATGGAGACCAAGCCCAGGCCCACGCTGGCCTCATCCCAGCCATCCTGAGCACATTCACCAAACACATCCCAGATCCACTGGATGGAGCCATTGGGGCACATGGAAAAGTTGCTTGCGACCAGTGTCCTCCAGACCATGGCTGCAGAGGGACGGTTCTAGCAGAGGGGAGAAAGTGCAGGTATCTGGAGACAGTTCAGAGGCTGGCGAAGGTTCGTTCTACCAAAAGACAAAGAGGAGGTCTTCAGCCTTTCCTGACCCTGTGGTGTCAACCAGCCCTGTCCTCTACAAAGTGAGGACAATGACAGGCCCTACTTCATTTAGCTGCTTGACAGTTAAATGAGTTCATAGGTGGAAAGGGTGGGCCTGTAAGCCAACAGCACCTTCTGAAACAACTTGTGAACATGTAGGTATCTTGTTTTTATTTTAGAGGTCAGATCTAGAACCTTGCATGTGCTGAACAAGAGGTCAACAACTGCCCTGCATCCCGGCACTTTTTTAAAAACTTTGCATCTCAAGAGGGTCTCACAAAATTACCCAAGCTGCCCTTACACCTCCAATCCTGCTTCAGACACCTGATTCCTGGGATCACAGGTCTGAAGAGGTGAGACTTCCATCCCTTTGTAATTACCATACTCAGGACAAGGTCTCGAGGCCAGGCCTCTCTAGAGGGAAGCTACCCTTTGCACCTTTCATGTGTGAGTGAGAAGGTGTTCCTAGTATTGCTCAGGTACCCGGATAGAAAGCTGGGGCCCATGTCCCTCCCAAAACTTGAAAGACGAGCATGACGCCTACCTGCAAGGAAGCCACAGCCCATACCAGAGTCTGGCGCTGGTTGAAGGAACAGGAAGAAAAAGTCCTCAAAGTTCCTTGTCACCTGCAGAGTAGGAAGGACACTATCACTCTGTATGCATGACAACCTGGAGATGGGAGGGAGGACAAGGCCTGGCCGGAGCCATCTCCTCCAGTCCTGGCCTGCATTCACACATTCTGTCCTCAGCCTGATTCGAATGGAACACTGCTGTCATATTCAGAAGGGACCTGAGGCCACAGTAGGGAAGTCATCTGTCAGGGCCAGAAAGCAAGAGTTAAACCCCCGAGGGAGAGGCTTCACTGGAGGCTGCCATGGCTTCCCCTTTTGTGCTATGAGGGTGCTTCCTCATCCAGACGGGCTCACTCTTGGACCTCCTTAGTTCCCACTTATGCCAGGGAGGCCTGGATTCCTTGCAAAGCTCTGGCTGGACCCAGAGCTGCTGAGCTTGTGATGATCAGGCCACCGAGAAGAAGCAGGGCAGCTCCTTTTCTCAGGAAACCCAGATTCACAGACCTATATGACCAGCTGCTAGAGCTGGGGGTAAGAGTGCCCCGTCACTGGCAGCTCTGGTATGGGGCAGAGGATGGATGGAAGGCTCTTCCCTGGTCTCAGTGGCTGGGTGCAGAATCAGCATAGCCAATTTGGAGAGTAATTACCTGACATGGCAGTTCACACACAGTCCAGGTAAGAGCTGTGCCTAAGAAGCCCTCTTATTTACCAGCCACACATACCCTACTGGACTCCCCCGCCCCATGCCCCCTTGGGTTCTGAACAGGCCACCACAGTTCATCACACATCCATACACTATCATCCCTCACAACACCCAGACCTGGTACGGAACACAGTCCCCATTTTAAAGTAGGGTTGAGTAATTTTGGGCCAGTGAGTCAGCCTGTCCAAGACTGTCTATGAACTGGGGCTAATACCCTTCTGAGCCAAGCATAAATCTCTGAAGCCCACATCTGATCCATGGTAATAATGCTCTGAAGATGAGAACCCAGTATCCTGGCTACTGTGGAGCTCCTCACTCCCGCCAGGTTAGGAAGGAATCGAGGTGAGCAGGGACTGGGTGTGAGCAGCTCTCCCAGGGTGTGAGCAGCTCTCCCAGCTTCTTCAAAGGCTCTTTCCATGATAAGCAAAGATTGAACCTGAGAGCTCACATACACACGCTAGTCACGTGCTCTACCACTGGGCTACATCCCTCAGCCTGAAAGCGTCTGACTCTCATGGTTCATTTCCAGAATGGCTGGCCAGGAGATGGATCTCCTGAAATACCCCACTCCTCTCCAACTCCACGCAAAACCAGGGAGATGCTTCCCAACAAAGCAGATGCAGGTTCCACTTTGACACTGGATCAAGTTCAAATTCACAGAGACAAGGTCCCAAGGCCCCCCAAGAAATGCTCTCCTAACTTCATCTCCTACCCCAGGTCCACAGAGTCCCAGGCACCCATACAGCTGTTTCTTCCTCTAAGGAATCCTTTTATACCACAAGTGCCTGCTAGAGACACCATGACCCATTTCCAAACTGCCTTCTCCAAGAGGGGTTGCGCGACCTCCGCCTGTCCCCAGGAACACACTCCTGGAGAAGATGCATCACTATCCTTGTTAAACACTGCTCTTCAAGAAAGTCTCTCTCCCCTCTCCGTTTGTATACTTCCTGTTCTTGTGGTCTGGATGCACCTGCTGCACAACCAAGGTTCAGAAAAATGTAAGGAGAGGGAGAGGGAAGGAAGCATGAGGAAGTGGGGAAAGGGGGGGGGAAAGGACACGAAGCTGGCAGTGGTGGTGCATGCCTTTAATCCCAGCACTCGGGAGGCAGAGGCAGGCAGATCTCAGTGAGTTCGAGGCCAGCCTGATCTACAAAGGGCTAGAGCTAGAGCTGTTACACAGAGAAACCCTGTCTCGAAAAGCAAACAAATAAACAAAAGACATGAGAAGGGAAGAGGGGAGGAGGAGAGGGAAAAGGAGGAAACTTGTGAGTTGAGGGGAGCCTAGAACTGAGAACTTCCTCTGGGTAAGTGACTGAGCTTCAGCGTTCTGATGCATAAAATGTAGGAAGTCATGAAAGATGCTTACCTCTTAGACTGATGGTAGACTCAATAAAAACCTAGTCCAAGCTGTAACAATGGCTTGAGCCTAGGTACTCATACATGCTGGTCAAGTGCTCTAGCACTGAGCTACAACCCCCGCCCCGTCCCGTCCGCCCCCCTCCCAATTAGGAAAGATCTTGACTCTCATGGTTCATGTCTAGAAAGACTGGCCAGGAGATAGTACTTTCTGCCACACTCAACTCCTCCAGCTTTAAGCAAAGCCAGGAAGATGCTCCCCACGGTCTATGGTAATATTCTGTTCTTGCTGTAGCTCCCTGGGTCACATAGTAACACATAGGATACAACATTAACTGAACAAAACCTGAGACTACAGCAGTCCTCATCCTTCTAACCAACCCTCCTTGGAATCCTGCTGTGAGCTTGGCGGGGGAGGAGGCACTCTAGGCTCCCTCGCTGCAGACCTGGGGAAAATGTGTCAGGAGATCTCACATTGGCTCCGGGATCCTACCCACTCCAGGCCTCCACACCAAGACTCTAACTCCTTCCGGTGACTCTGCCGGTTCGGAGGGATAATGACAGGGCAGCCGCTGGGGCAAGCGCCGCGAGGCCCCCGCCCAGTCCGGGGAAAACAAGGCAATCAAAAGCCAAGAGACCGGAAGGCAGGTGAGAAGTGGAGCCGGACCCGGACTCGGATCCCAGGCCAGACCGGGCTGAAGCCCGGGATCCCGCGCCCCAAAAGGAGACCAGCGCCGGGAGGCGTGCAGGGCTGGAGGAGGTTGTAGGAAGGAACTGACAGGGCGCGCCCCGAGTCTCGACTCCCGGCCTGCCGCCAGCCCTCTGCAGTCTCACCAGATGAGGATCCACAGCCGGAGTCAGCTTCCAGGACCGTACCCCGCCGGGGTCAGCTGATCTTCGCGAAGCCCCGCCCTCCGCGCGCTGTGGGCGGAGCCTAAGGACCCGGACGCGCAGGCGCAGTCTCCATGCTGCGTGTGGCTTCCCGAGCCGTGGTTCGCGCTGCTGTTCGCTGGGCGCGTCGCTCCGGGCCTTCCGTAGCGCGTCCTCTAGCCATGTCCCGGCCTCCGCCACCCGACGCCACCTCGGGCGCCCCTCTCCGGCCCGCCACGGTTCTGGGCACCATGGAGATGGGACGCCGCATGGATGCGAGCGCCAGCGCCGCAACGGTACGCGCCTTCATGGAGCGCGGCCACAGCGAACTGGACACGGCTTTCATGTACTGCGACGGCCAGTCCGAGAGCATCCTGGGCGGCCTGGGGCTTGGGCTGGGCAGCGGCGACTGCACAGGTAACCGCTGCACCTGACCCCCCAACACACACGCGCGCACACACGCGCACACACACACCTGCACCGGCGTGCCAAGTCCCGGGGGTCTGCACCCAGGAGCTTCGTAAGCTCCCACGTCCACAGCTGTGTGGACCTCAAGATCCTAAGGCATCTAAAGTTCTGAACTACCGAACTGAACTTGGTCCGGTCTCTGCTTTGAAGCTTCTGGAGTTGCGCGGGTGTGAGGAAGCTCCCTAGTCTCACCTTGCTTCCTACCTCAGTCCCTGCCTCCCAGCTCTCCAGTCTAGGTGTCCCCTCCCCCTCCCCCAGCTTTGTGCTTATGCCCTCCCCTCTTGCCCTCACCACCACCCCTGTGCCCCGGGAGCATGTTTGGTCATCATCTCCTAGACTTTGTCCTCAAGGGAGCAGGGGTGGGAAGGTAGCATGGGGAGAGGGCACTAACGGCCTTTCTGCCCATGCTGTGCCAGGTCTTGTAATGGGGACTACTGCAATGGGGAAGTGACTAACCCACAGAGGGAGTCCCAAGTCCAGCATGTAAGACTAAAGCTCTGATTGCTGGGAGTAGCTTGTGGAGGCCCCAGGGAGAGCAGTAGGCGAACCTCATTGATCAGACAGACCTTACAGTGTAAGAAGCTGTGCTGGGGACAGAACAAGAGAAAGGGGCACTGGAGGCTGAAGGCGTAGCTGTTTGAAGATGGAGTGCCAAGTACTTGTATGGGGCAGGATGGCCAGTGGCATGTGTCCCTTGATGGAAGATGAGGGGAACTGTCCCTCATTTGCTTGAAGCCATTGGAAGTCTCAGGAGTGTGCCCTTTCCTTGCCTCCTCCTGGTGCCTGTGCAGGAGCCCTCTCTGGGGCTCCTTAGACTCACAACACGGTGGGCCTGGAGGGGCATAAGTGAGCCGGTCTCTCAAGCCCAACACTGTAGAGTTCACCTGGCTGATTTGCTCCTGATTTTTTAAAGATACCTTTCTTATACTTACCTAATTTATATTTGTTAGTGCTTTGCCTGTGTGTCTGCATGCGCCACAGAGAAATACTTTACTGGTTTCCCTGCTTTGGGGTCTGTCCCCTTGAGGTCCTTCTCCATTCTTTGGCTAGAAGGAACCAATTGATGAGCCCATATCATCCTGACAAAACTTGGGAACATCGAGTCCAAAGTCTGGGATGGTGTCTGAGCACCTCTGGGGTGGAATCTGATGTCTCAAGTCCTACACCACCTGCTTTGTGATATATATTCTTAAAATCCAAAATGCAGCCTCGTGTGGCAAGCACCTTTGTCCAGTGAGACAACTTACCAGCTGACATTTTAAAAGTATCTATTCAAGTCCTTTGTCCATTAAAAAATTAAAACTTAAAGATATGTATTTTTATGTAGGTGTACAAGTATTTTGTCTGCACATATAGGTGCATGCCATGTTGCGTGTACCCTGTACACAAAGTGTTGGATTCTCCGGAACTGAAGTGATGGGTGGTTTTAAGCTGCCCTGTGGGTGCTGGGACTCAAACCTGGGTCCCCTGCAAGAGCAATAAGTGCTTTTAACTGCTGAGCCATCTCTCCTGACCCTATATTGTATCTTAATTAAAAATTACTTTTAAATCCCCCTCAGTTCTTAGAAAGCATGATTGTCTACATATAAACTGAGGATTTTAAAACTGTATAATTTTAAGATTTATTTATGTATGAGGGTCTGTCTGCATGAATGCCTACACACCAGAAGAGGGCATCAGATCCCATTATAGATGGTTGTGAGCCACCATTTGGTTGCTGGGATTGAATTGAGGACCTCTGGAGGAAGAGCCAGTGCTTTTAACTGCTGAGCCAAATTTCCACCACAAGACCCCCACCCCCACCCCCCCCCCCCCCCCCCCCCCCCCCCCCCCCCCGCCCCCCCCCCCCCCCCCCCCCGCCTGCCAACCTTAATCATCATTATAATCTTTCTGCAAGTGAAAATTGCCACCAAGGCCAACCCTTGGGATGGGGTTTTTTTTTTTTTTTTTTTTTTTCTACTGTTGGCCCGTTACTTGTTTCTTATCGGCTGCTCTGCCTTATTTTCCCTTTCTCTGTCTATGATTTCTCTTCCAGGGGGGCGGCGCCCCACCTCCTTCCTTCCCCCCCCCCCTCTTTTCCCCCCCCTACACTCCTTTCCTCCTTGTCTCCTAGTCCCTCCTATCTTCCTTTCCTATTGGCCAACAATGCTTTATTATTAACCAGTATGAAAAACATATATACATAATGGCATCTCCCATCAGTGAGGGACTTCCATTTAATACCAGTCACTGCATTTTACAGATTAGGAATTAGGGACCAAATTAAGTAATTTAACCAGGAACACTGACACTTACATGGCCAGTGAGTAATTCTAATAAATCTTTGTTGTTGTTTTGGTTTTTGTTTTCAAGACAGGTTTTCTCTGTATAACAGCCCTGGCTGTCCTGGAACTCACTCTGTAGATCAGGCTGCTCTTGAACTCTCAGAGGTCTGCCTGCCTCTGCCACCTGAGTGCTGGAATTAAAGGCGTGTGCCACCATGCCTGGCCTTCGAATAAATCTCTTAATCATCATTATAATCTTTCTGCAAGTGAAAATTGCCACCAAGGCCAACCCTTGGGATGGGAAGTCACTGAAGCCTGACAGTGTCCGGTCCCAGCTAGAAACGTCACTGAAGCGGCTACAGTGTCCACGGGTGGACCTCTTCTACTTGCATGCTCCTGACCACAGCACCCCTGTAGAAGAGACGCTTCGTGCCTGCCAGCAGCTGCATCAGGAGGTGAGGGTGGCCCCTGAGCTCAGAGAGGTGATCTCTACCCCTCTCGTCCTTACTCTACCATGACAGCGAGGCTTTCTAGGCATCCAGGGCAGAGCTAGGCACAGATTCCACTCCCAGGTTTCTCACCCAGTTGGTTTTCCCTTCCTTGTTCCCTGGGTTGAGCAGAGTCCTCTCCCCTGCAGGGCAAGTTTATGGAGCTTGGCCTGTCCAACTATGCCTCGTGGGAGGTGGCTGAGATCTGCACACTCTGCAAGAGCAACAGCTGGATCCTGCCAACCGTGTACCAGGTAAGGGCAGCTTGGTGCGCTGGGGCTCTCCAGGTCTCAGGGCTCAGTGTCTGTGCTTTGGACCCTCCTGGTGCCCTCTACAGAGTTGCCACTCCCCTCCTCAAAGCCTGCAAGTACCACCTAGTTTCTCACCAGCCCGGCTGGCTATTGCTCACCTGCTTGCTTACTGCCTGAGCACACACATCTTCGTCCGTCCTCCCATCCTGCACTGCAGCCTAGAACAGACCTCCCCATGCCCTGGAAGTAGCACTCAGCTTTGACTCAGAAGGCTCTTCTCTGGTAATCCCCTCCCCACCAGCCCCTGGGAGCAGCCAGGCTCCGAAACGCATCCTCATAGATGGGCCTCTTGAGTACCTCCTTGACCTTAAGGTCTACCTTTGCTGTATCTCTCTGTGGATTTCTGTTATTGTGGTGGTTTATTTTCTTCTACTGGGGATTGAACCCGAGACCTGGTGTCTGCTCTGTACACCTCAGCCTGCTGTCTATATTTTTAGTTTCTTTGTTACATATCTTGGAAGCAGAGAATTTGCTGAACTTTTGAGTGGTTGTGATTTTGGCATCCAGCTCATAGAGGAGACCTGGAGATATGTGTGGAGTGATAACCCAGGCCAGTTTCCCCTCCCTGGGCCTAGAACTCTCAGCCCCACTCCATCCTGCCATATCTAGCATTTAAGAAAAAGAGACTGTTTAGTCCCTATGGCCTCCAGGTGAGAGTTGAAATAATTGAACCTGGGATGGTGTCGATTTTGAGTTTTCAAAGTAGAAAATTTCAAATCTGGGCATAGTGGCACACACATGTAATTTACCACTTGGAAGTCTGAGGCAGGGGGATCGCTGTAAGTTCAAGGCAAGCCTGGGCTACAGAGCAAGACTATTTCAAAAACCGGAAACCAGGTTCAATGGATAAAAATGCTTGCTGTACAACCATGATGACCTGGACTCTCGTCCCCCAGTTGACAAACAAGACCAGGTGTGATTTCTGCACCTGTTACCTAGTGCTATGAAAGGCGGGGGGGGGGGGGCGGCGGGACAGAGGGTCACTGGGGCTTGCTGGATGCCCACCCAGCTCCAGATTTGGTAAGAGGCCCTGTCTCGGATATAAGGCAGAGAGTGGTACAACAGGACCCCCAACATCCTGCTCTGGCCTCTGCACCCATACATGTGCGCAACCATACCTACAGACACACACACACAAATAAAAAGTAGAGGACTAGCAGGCCCAGGGTACAATACTTAGACCCAGTTACTGGGGAGGTTGAGGCAGGAGGATCACTTTAGCCTGGCCAATTTACCGAGATCTGTCTCTAAAGAAGAAAGGCTTCCAGGTTGGAGAGATGGCTCAACGGTTAGGAGCACTGGCTGTTCTTTCACAGGACCGGGGTTCAATTCCTAGCACCCATATGGCAGCTCACAACTCCAGGGGATCTGACACCTTCACACCAATGCACATAAAATAAATTGAAAAGAAAAGAAAGGCTTCCAAAACATTATTTTAAAAAGAGGAAAGCTGGGTCCCTTCTCTTGATGCATCCACACTTTGCAACAGGACCCTCTTCTTCCCTGCAGGGCATGTACAACGCCACCACCCGGCAGGTGGAGAAGGAGCTCTTCCCCTGCCTCAGACACTTTGGATTGCGATTCTATGCCTACAACCCTTTGGCTGGTATGGGCTGCCGTGGGAACTGACCCTGTGGATGAGCGGGCGGGCATGCCAGGCTGGACTCTACAGATTATTGCCCTATTGGATGCCCTTTCCAGGCTTCCTCCTGCTCTCCATTTCAGAGCTGGGTGGGAACAGGCAGCCTTGGGGAGGGGTCCAGGCCAGGGTCTGACTGTTGCCATCCCACAGGGGGCCTGCTGACTGGCAAATACAAATATGAAGACAAAGATGGGAAACAGCCTATGGGCCGCTTCTTTGGGAATAATTGGGCTGAGACCTACAGGAACCGGTAAGCTGGGGACCTCTGCATCATGGTAGGTAGGGGTGGGATGTCCCCTGTCCCCTTAATCTTACATGAAGTTCTTAGCTATGCTCCTAGGGATACAACCTCCCACTGCCCCCTCTGTGTTTCTTGATTCTTTTTTGTGGTTTTTCAAGACAGGGTTTCTCTGTGTAAACAGTCCTGGCTGTCCTGGAACTCGCTCCGTAGACCAGGCTGCCCTCTAACTCACAGAGATCCACCTGCCTCTGCCTCCCGAGTGCTGGGATTAAAGGCATGCACCACCAACGTCCAGCCTTGATTCTTAAGAGAAGTGGCAAATCCTAGGGTTTCTCTTTGGGAAACCCTCCCCTTACCCCTAGACCTTGTGGTCACATAAGCCATTGCTACTCTAAGAGGTGCCAAGCCAGGAGGGAAAGAGAGGACCTTGGGTGGAGGCTTGGAAGGCCAGGGCCAAGTCTAGCTTTGCAGCCGCTTCTCTGTTGCACTAGGTGAATGAGTTCCCACGGATGCATCTAGCGAGCGAGTGAGCAGCCCAGGAGCTTCCTGGGCCCCGTAAAGAGGGAGGTCCTCTCTCCCAGAGAGATACAGTTCCTTCCATGCCACAGAATGGGGGTGGGGTCAGTGCCTTGGTAGTCTCTTCGGCTTCAGTCCCCAGTGTGACCCAAGATTCTCACCCCTTGAGCCACTCTCCCCACTCACTCAGCTTCTGGAAGGAACACCACTTCGAGGCCATTGCCCTGGTAGAAAAGGCCCTACAGACCACCTATGGCGGCAGCGCCCCCAGCATGACCTCGGCCGCCCTGCGCTGGATGTACCACCACTCACAGCTCCAGGTAGCCCAGCACCATGAACTCATGTTCCGGGGGCCCACAGTTGCCTTTAACTTATTTCTAGAGAGAGTACCTGATTCAGGGCTAGTGGGATAATTTGGTGTATAAAGAGCTTGCCAGACAGGCAGGAGGCAAGAGTCCTATAAAGAGAGGGTGGGTTTTTACTTATGTCCCCCCAGGGAAGAGCTGTAAGAAGGGACAAGAGTTGAGCCACATACGTTCAGTTGTCAAAGACCCCTTCAGACCTTCCTGGGTGTTCAGGACAGATGTACACAAAGCGCCCAGATCTCACCAGGGGACAAGGAAAGAGGGACGTGTGGGACAGGAACCACCAAGTAGAAGTGTGCTGAGATCTGGCTGTCTCCTTGCAGGGTACCCGAGGGGACGCGGTCATCCTGGGCATGTCCAGCCTGGAGCAGCTGGAACAGAACTTGGCCGCCACTGAGGAAGGGCCCCTGGAGCCGGCTGTCGTGGAGGCCTTTGACCAAGCCTGGAACCTGGTTGCCCACGAGTGTCCCAACTACTTCAGATAGACTGCCCTGGATCACGCCGCCAAGAAAGGGCTTTCCAATCCCCTCTTGGGTTCACACCCTACCAGTGTGAACCTCTTGCCCATCTCCAGCCACACAGCCTTCTAGATTACAGCCCTGCTCCCTGCCACCTTCACAGTGACAACTGGCTGGGCGCAGTCAGCAGTGCTTCCTGTCTGAATAAAGCTGGCATCCGGCCTGGCTGCAGGCAGGACTGAACCTCACACGGTCTCCTCTGCTGCTCCGCACCTGTTCCCTCCGTGCTGCCTCTGGACCCACGGAAAGGGTGGAACCAGGAGCTGGGGCTCCAGAAAGCGTAGGTGTGGGAGGGTCTCACACTGCCTGGCAAGGGTCCCCTCACCATGTCCTGATCCAGCCTCACCCCTCACTCTTCTACATGTGACAGAATGGGGTGGGTGTGTCTATGCATGCCTGTTAATTCCAGTGCTCAGGAGACTGAGGGGGGAGATGTACTGGTCTATATAGTGAGTTCCAGATCAGCAGGGGATGCTAAATGAGATCCTCTCTCAAAAACAAGCAGGATGAATTTAAAAGGCATGGCCTTTGACTCTCACCTTCAGAATTGTCTTACCAAATCCTTAACGGATTTATTTTAAAGAGGGCTGTGATATATTTGAGACCACCCTGGCAAGGCCATCCTGAGACCTTGTCTCAAAAAGAAGAAGAAAGAGAAGAAGAAATTGAAACAACAGAAGCTGGTATAGCTCAGTGATAGTGAAAGAAATAATGATGACCCACTTCTCCTTGGGACACAAGACAGGAGATAAGCACTATTTACACTATTTAAATATTGGGGGTTGGTCTGGAGAAAGCAGCTAAGAGCACTTGCTTCTTTTGCATAGGTTCTAACCTTAACACAGCAAAATATATCACACAACAGTTATCAAATAAGAATCACAGTTAACAATATTTAGCCCATTAACATTTTGTAAGATTTAAGAAAATATACCATCATCTAGTCTATCTTTGTGAGTCTAAAGTCCTATATGTAACTTATCTTTAAATAAGCAAAGGTGTTGGGGTGAATGCTTTTAATCTCTAATGGTGTTGCATTCTCCCTTGCTGCCCTGCTGCCTTGATCAAATGGACTGTGGTAAAATAACCAACAGGTGTGTGGCAGTGCCAGAATGCCTGTATGTATACCTGTACACCAGAAGAGGGCATCACATGCTATTATAGATGGTTGTGAGCCATGATGGGGTTGTTTGGAATTGAACTCAGAACCTCTGGAAAAACAACCAATGCTCTTAACCTCCGAGCCATCTCTCCAGCCCTATGTCAGTATTTTATAAGGTAACTAACCACTAGAGACATTAGCTGACTTCTGCTCCTGAAAGCACACCCCAACCCAGGCTGTAGCAGATGCATTACAAACCTCAGTAAGTTCCAGATGAGCCTGCAGCCATTTCCACCCACAAGGGGAGCAGGAGAGGCCTTTCCCTTGGTGATCTAGTGGATGGACTGCTGTGGTGGTGCTGATGTTGAGGGGCCAGTCTGATTGGTCCAAAACAGATGCCACAATGACTCTAATTGATTCTAAGAGGAGTGGCTGTGACTAACAAGTCTGTAATTAGTTTCAAACAAGTGGCTGTGATTGCTTCTCGGGTACAAACTGTTCAGGGTTACTGCTTGAGTCAATTGGCAGACACTCCTGTTCTACCTCAGCTACTGCAACATTGGGCCCAAGAAAAAGCTTCCGTTGGTCCTACAGGATGACTGAGTGGGTTAAGAAAGTTTCCATCACAGAGAGGGAGAGAGAGTGCCAGCGGCCTAGTGAGAGACCGGGGAGCATCAATAGCAACAGCTTCCAGAAACTATCTTCAGAAGGGCCTCTGGGTGCACCAGAAGACAGCATCAATGTCAGTGTCAGCACCATGTGGCGGCCAGAAACTGACCGCCTGCACTTAGAGGGGCGATCACCAGCACCCCCTGCATCTGGAGGAGTAACTGCTGGAGTCATGGCTCCACCTACACCGGGAGAGGTGAGATCATCTCAGCCTTGGGCCCATCTACACCTGGAGGAGTGAGCATCAGAGGCTCAGCCTTGCTGGCACCTGAAGGAGCATTCCACGAAGCCACAGACCTCAACTGCAGCGATTGGAGGAAGAGGGCCCCTGAAGCGCAGGCTGTACTGATTGGAGGAAGAGATGGGCAGACAACAAGAACACACTCAACAACACAAAGAGCAATACAGCACCGCCAGATACTAGTGGTTCTACAGCATCAGTGCACATGAAACAGAAGAAAACGACATTAAAAATAACTTTATGGAGATGATTGAGGCCCTTAAAGAGGAAATGAAAAGTTCCCTTAAAGAAATGGAGGAAAAGACAAACAAAAAATTGGGAGAGATCAACAAATCCCTTAAAGAAAAAAGAAAAGGCAGTCAAACAGGTGAAGGAAACAGTTCCAGACTTGAAACCTGAAATAGGGCAATAAAGAAAACACAAACTGAGGGGATTCTGGAAATAGAAAATCTGGGTAAATGATCAGGAATTACAGATGTAAACATAAACAACAGAATGCAAGAGATGGAAGAGAGAATCTTAGGTGTTGAAGATATGATAAAGGAAATAGAATCATCAGTCAAAACAATGTTAAATCCAACAAATTCTTAACATAAAATATCCAGGAAATCTGTGACACCATGAAAAGACCGAACTTAAGAATAATAGTAATAGAAGAAGTCCAGCTCAAATGCACAGAAAATATATTCAACAAAATCATAGACGAAAACTTTCCCAACCTAAAGAAAAACATGCCTATGAAAATACAAGAGGCTTACAGAACACCAAATAGACTGGACCTAAATAAATAAATAAATAAAAGTCCCCTCTCCACATAATAATCAAAACACTAAACACACAGAATAAAGAAAGAATATTAAGAATTGCAAAGGAAAAAGACCAAGTAACATACAAAGGCAGACCTATCAGAATTACACCTGACTTCTAAATAATGAAAGCCAGAAAGTTCTGGTCAGATGTTATGCAACTAATAAGAGACCACAGATGCCAGCCCAGACTACTATATGCAGCAAAGCTTTCAATCACCATAGACAGAGGAAGTAAGATATTCCATGACTGTAGTGAGATATTCACCCCTCCCCCCACATGTCATACTGACCACACCCTTTGTGGGTGGAGATAGGTAGACATGATGTGGAAGAACTAGGTCTGGGGAACCGGGAACTCTCTTGGTTCCTGGACTGAGACAGAGAGCATCCAGAGGCATGCTGGCCTGGACTGGACTTGGGACAGGAACCTGCTGGCCTTCATCTGTCTCTGTTGTGTATTTCTCCCTGAATTCAGCCTATCTGTTTCCCCTGATCCTTATTTTAACACTATATCTGGTGTCAGAAGTGGGATCTAGATTTCCACAAGATCCGGGGCATTAGGTCACACCCAGGCAGTGGCACTTAGGTGGTGCTGCCTCCTTCCCTGACCCCAGTGTTTCAGCAACACTGTCCCCCTGTTCTGCGGTTCCCTTGCTCTAAGTGCTTGCTCACAGGCGCCTGCACCAACCTGCCGGCTGCAGCTGCCACAAGTCAGCTTCCTTCCCCGACCCTCTGCCACCACTACAACAGCAGGTGCTCTGGCCACCCACTCCTGAAGCTGCTGCGGGCACTATGCGGCGCACCCTGAGAATTCAGCCTCTGCCAGGTGTGGCAGCGGTGCGGATAACTGTTCTGCCCTGGTAAAAGGAGGCAGAGCGCGGGAAGCAATTGCCACCTTCCTGCAGCTGCAGTTTGGCGTCAGTCACCCCACTGCAGCCTCTCATCCCCCACGTTGCACTGAGACTGTGTGCAGAGCAGTCTCTGCTTCTATGGTCCCAGTAATTTACATAAAGCTCGATTTTACTCTTCCAACTAATAATATCTGAAGACTTTAAACTAATAACATCTGAAGACTTTAACAAGGACCGAGGTCGGAGGTATCTCTAGCTACCGGATGCCATTTGGTGATACCCCTGTGCCACCTACTGGCAAGGTGTAATTACTGCAGGTTGAGATCTGCAACCAAACTGGACCTTGCAATTTTCAGCTCATTACTGCTGGAATTCTTCCATCTGTTCCAGGATCCTTATAAGGTAGTTGCAACATCATTACAATTTCAGCTGATATATTAACTGAGATCAATTATTCCTTACCAATGGCGGATGATCATATGATGCAGGACATTAGGAATCTTTTTATTTCATATATGGAAGGAATTTTAGCAGAAGAAAACCATGACTTAACCAATACATACATTTTCCTGATGATAGCAATGGGTTTCATGATCAATATAATATTCTTAAATAAAGGGTTTGAGATTAGAGCAAAGAATAAGGAACTTTACAAACCATAGGAGACTTAGTAACAAGGATTCAGAATATTGAAAATGGCAATGGAGATCTGACAGGTAGAATATAAAACATGGAACATAAAAATGACCGACTAGAAAACAGAATTTGTTCCATGTCCGCTGCCTCAACGACAAAAACAGAAACAATGCATTAACACACTAGCAGAAACAGCTCATTCCTTGTCTGGCAAATCTAATGATAAGATTAAAAAACTGAAATATCAGATGGGAAAAACTGGCAGATAGAATTTGTTCCATGTCTGAGGATAATGGTAAGCTATCGAACAGAACATTGTTTCTGGAAGGCAGCTTAGATGCCGTTCAGATACTATCTAAGGATGAGAATATTAACGGCATAGAATCATTCGTAGTTTGAGAAAACAAGAAACCGACTGATTCAATGATTCAAAAAGTTCAAACACTCGAAGAAACAATGGTGAATAGATCGCAGGCTTTAGAAGACCTTCAATCTGAAACATCAGAAGAACAGGTACAGGCAATAGGGCATGAGAGATTCAAACTTTCCTACACCTTTTAGGGTTAGGGGAGACTTGCCTAATGTCATTCCATCACCAATGGCTTTTCCTGTATCTATCACTGGGAAACCAGCAACAAAAAAACATCTGAAGGGTTTTGTTGCATATCAGTGGGAACCAATACATATGAAAGATTTAAAGGGTATAAAGGAAACAGTAGTCTCTCATGGCATGCTCTCACCATATGTGAAGCAATTAGTAGAATCACAGGCAAGGAATAACAAGGTAACCCCTAAGGATTGGGATCAATTAATATCAGCTGTCCTTGAAAATTCATCTCGATTAGGATGGAGGGCTTTACGGAGAGAAGAAGCAAAGGCT